TCTTGTCATAACATTTTTGAGAGTTCTTACTTCTTCCTAAGGGTAAATGGGAAAAATCTGAAATTTTAACAATGGTTAGATGTAAGAAACATTTTACACTGAAGTCGTTAGACATTTCACACCTACTCCTCATCTACTCAAGACAGCTCATTGCATCATGCTCTGCATGTGAATTCTTTAAGTACAGATCATTTGGATTTTTCTATTGTTCAGTCCTGAAATATAGGGCTTTCTTTCCTCCACAAGAGGAAGAAAAATTAAATTTTTCAAATGTTCCTTGAATCATCCTTGAAAAAGAAGAAGTTTTCTAGCAGCCTTTTCAAGGAAAAATTCATCAGTCATACTGAGTGACTGTTTCAGTTGACTTATTAAAATTATAAAATTACTAAGCTGGTTTTAGTACTGTACACTACAAGTACATAATCTAAAGTAAAATTATTATCTTTTCATTTGCCATCAATGAAATAAAAAAAAGTTATTAAAATACAGAAACTTGACAATGAAATGTGCTTAATACTAAATGTTATTTCTCAGTCATCTTCAGACAGGTCTGTTCAAGATAAATGTAACTTTTATGAATAGTTAATACCAGATACACATCGATAATCTTGTCTTTAAAAAAAATCTATATGTGGTTTCACGCGTTTTTGTTTGTTTGGGAGTGGGGTTGTGAGTTTTGGGTTTGGTTTGGTTTTGGTTACGGTTTTTTAGTTGTTTCATTAGTTGTGGGGTTTTTTTTGTTTTGGTTTTGTTTGGTTTTATTTGGGTTTTAGTTTTGGTTTTTCCAGGGGTTTTTTTGTTTTGGTTGGTTGGTTGGGTTTTGGTTGGTTTTATTTTTTTCCTATACAAGCTCACCAGAGAATGGCAGCTCAGGAGCATGTGCTCAGAGGTCCAGTCTGTGTTCAGTTTATACACTCTAGGCACCACAAACATTTTTTTGTTCAGGGTCAGAGAGTCACTGGGATGCTTAGCCAGGGAGGGTTTTTTACCAGAGATAACTGCAAACAGCACAGAAGGGAAGAAAATCACAGATGAGTGCTCATCAGGAAGGAGGCAATCCCAGTGGTTTTTTTTTAATGTATTAGTGCAGAAGCAGAGACCAAAATCAGCAAAGCTGCAATCTGTTTATATTCCTAAGTCTTTGCAAAGGGAAACCGCCTGTTCACGTGTTGCACTTCATAGAATCATAGAATCAATCGAGTTGGAAAAGACCTCCAAGGTCATCAAGTCCAACCCTTGATCCAACACCGCCGTGGTTACTAGACCGTGGCACTGAGTGGCACATCCAGTCTCATCTTAAAAACCTTCAGGGATGGTGAATCCAACACCTCCTTGGGCAGCCCATTCCAATGTCTGATTACTCTCTTTGTAAAGAATTTCTTCCTAACATCCAACCTAAACCTCCCCTGGTACAGCTTAAGACTGTGCCCTCTTGTCCTGCTGCTGGTTGCTTGAGAGGAGATCTACGCCCACCTAGCTTATCACCTTTTTGTTCTCTTTTTCGGTAGTTCCCTTAGCTTTACCACAATAAACACAGTCCTTAACACTGCATACCTGAAGTCCCTTTTCCCCATCACCCGTGCTGCGTGATCACCTTCAAGTCTGTAAACAAGGACTTGGGTGCTCTTATTTGATAAAGCTGTTCACTAATCCCCTGACAATGACCTTAGATTTCTATCCAATATGGGTTTTGTTATTAAAAATAAAATAAGAATGATAGAACTTCAGCTCCATTAGAAAAGTCACACGTGAGAGGGCTTTAAAAACAGGCTTAGAGCTTAAAGGGACAATAAAATAAGACAAGGAATGACGTTTTTCTGGACTGGGGTTTCTGGTGCAGGATTATGGGCAGAGAAGGAAGCAGTGGTACCAAAGAGCAGTCAGAGGTGAGAGAGCAAACATCTTGCCTGCTGTGCATACAGAGGGTTTTTCTCTTGTCCCTTATGCCCTGGTTCTACAAATCTTCTTTTAGGCTAAAGTGTAGGTGTGTCTGCTGAGGAACAGCTCTTTGAAGAAGCTGTAGGTGTAGCATGTCTGTCATTAATCAGGCTGGAGATCACTCTCCAATCATGGAAAATGAAATGAACAGTTAGTCAGTGGGTAAAAAACAAAGACTCATTTTTCAAGTCTTCTTACCAGATGAACAGACACCTTTTGACGACACCAGCTTTCTTGTTTTCTTTTTTTTTCTCATTCTAATATTAATTTATTGGATATTTAAAAGCTAGTGTAGATAGTGACTACCATACATAAAAATATGATTATGCTTAGAAGATATCTTAAATATTAAAAAGGTAAGGACATAAGCAGAAAAAATCCCATTATGACAGTTGGAATAGCTAATAATGCTGATAATGAAATATCAGATCATCACTATAAATTATCACCTATTAAAAATTAATTGGTTATTAAGTGTTACTTAGAGCTCTACTACTATCTTGATGATGTGAAAATCATTCCTGATTTTCTGGCATAGGAAACCTCATGCATTATATGCCTTTCCTTCAGACATATTTATAGCACTGCTGATCTGAAAGTATCATTGCTGGTGGTTTGGAAACTTGTAAGACCACTTTTCAGACGCCAGCAAAAAATGCATACATATTCGGAGCACATGATCAAAACATATGAAAATAATCATATAAGAAATCTCTTTAAGACTTCTCTATTCTACTCAATTTTACATCCCCAGGAAATGGCTCTATAAAAAGAATTAACACTGAACAGACTTAAACTGAAAGAAAATGTTGCTCAGGCTCAGTAGCCTGTTTCCAAAAAATACCACTTTGAGTTCACAGAGCCTTGTGTAAGGGAAGAGTCACAGTCTCAACAGCTTAATTCCACACTAAGGAGAGGAACTTGGGGAGCAACAGATCACAACATCTCCTGGTCATTCTGACAGGAACAGTACTGGAATTCTACTTTTGCACTCTTTGCCCTGCACATAACCGCAACACAAACGTAATCTTCTATTTTTTTTCCTTTCTCAGCCCAAGATTAACAATATACAATTTTTCATCTTTGTCCCCAAATAGAGACACAGGTGTCTGTTCCCTGATGCACATCTCCCTGAATGAGGTCTGACACTCCTTCTCTTCCATGCCAATGATCTAATTATTCCCACATGCTGCTGAAAGATGTTGCAGTTTACATGCTATGAGATGTGTCTCACAGTGGGTCTCATTGACATCTGTTCTAGCTGACTTCCGACAGCCAGCACCAGTATGCAGCATAGGGCAGGACTTACAGACAACTGACACGACAGAGAAAGTACCATCTGCATAACCTTTAAATCTTTAAAGTCAGTTTCTAGTATTACAATCACAGATGCAGTTTCTTCTATTATTTATGAGCAGGCTGTGAAGACATATTTCAAAGAACAATTTAGCCTTTAATAATTTTTCAGCTTTTAGTGAGCAATGACTGTTCAGAGTGAATTTACAGAAAACATATCAGTATTTCGAATTTACCAGTCAGAATACCCTGCAGTATAAATTGTCATCTTCTTACAAGAATGGAGTAGCTCATAAGATGTAGCATGTCAGATAAATATATTAGGAATACTGTAAGAGAAAAAAAATCACTCATTTTTCCTTACTTTCTTTAAAATAGGAGAGATTTGCAAACACACACTTATTCAAACCTTCATTTCAAGTTAGTCATCACAGTGTTTCACTTTCCAGTTCTTTATATGCTGTGAACCTCCAGTGTCTATGCAGTTGTTTCTAAGGTAACAGATCAAGATGCCTTGTGAAAAAATGAATCAGATCTTGAATATTCAAGATATCTCTAGTTGCAGAAATGAGAAAGGACATCTCAACTGAGGGTTCTCAATACCTTTTAGATCTGACCTGATTTGCAGGCAAGAAAAATATAATCCATAAGGCTGCAAGTGTGAGAGTACAGTGGCTCATGCAGTTTCAGGCATGTAAACTGTCAGAAATTTTTAATCAGAGCCATAATTAAAGAATTAGGGAGGCTGTTCTAAACAGAGTCTCATTGCCTCATTGAAGGGTACACACACACAGAATGCAGATGAAGAATGTGTTTGGTAGGATTGAGCCTTCATTATAACCAATGACAGCTGCACAGAAATCTTTCGGTCAGATATGTGATGCACAAACCAAAAAACACATTAAAAATTAACGTGAACCAGCATATGAAAATAAATGCACATACATCTTTCTCAAGAGATCAAATATGTACTATTTCCACCAAAGAAAACAAATTGATATCTTTCACAGGTCTTTCACAGGATTAGCTGGGTCAATCATTTTCAGCGAATGGAATTATTGGGTTTTGTTGAGGTTTTTTGCTGTTGGTTTGACTGTGTGTTTGTTTTCTTAGGCTGGCTAGAAGTACCTTTTTTTTATTTCAAAGCCTATTTTACTTATTATCTGAGTCCAGAATTCATATAAACATTTAAATGCAAGTAAGGCACATAGAGAGAATATTAACTGAAATATGTAAGGCTTTTAGAAAGCTTTTGTTGCTACAAAAATGTAAATTCTTTGCTTAACAATCTCTGACATATGTTTATTGATATGTGCACACACCCACGAACTGTGATAAAATAATCATAGGGTATTTTTCAAACGCATATTAGAATGGGATCTAAAAAATCAAATTCATAAAAAAGGATCAGACTTGATAAAAACCTTCAGAGCTGTATTATTTTCCATGTTGTACAAGGAAAAATTGAGGCATAGCACCCTGGTAACTTGGGGATAAGACAAAAGTCATGGCCATATGACTTTACAGGTCATGACTGCTTCTACCTGTTTTCCTGTCTTTGAATTAGCTCCAAATGCCCCAAATGCTACTGCATTACAAATTACTGCTCACTACAAATGCATGTAATAAAAACTGTTCTGAATATTTACATAGGCTTGTTTGGCAACATTCTTCAGTGACTACTCTGCATGAAGAAAATATTAACAGATTTTGGGACTTGTATCATTTAACAAACTGAAAGGCAGATGCATTGATTAGGGTCTTACGTTCTTGGAAAGATGTGAAGAGCATCTGGAATCGGCTGTTTCGACTGCCTTCATCTGCCCACATGCGGATTACACCAAGACCTGTCCGCAGCATTACATCATTAGCAACAGTGCTGCAAAACTTTGCTTTCAAATCCTCCACGGAGCTGCTTCCATCATAGACAGCTACAAAATTCCTTTTGCATTCATTGGAATTCTGCATCTCGTAGTCCAAGAATCGCAAATAGATCTATGAATCAATCAGACAACAAAGGCAACATGTACAGATATTTGAGAATGACTGAAAAAACATTAAGCAACTTTGCTCTACCTTGTAGGAGAAAAAGTACACAACACCACAATCAGAATAATTTTTCTGGAGCTGGTGATCCACAGGGCACTTCCTTGTAAGGGCATTTATATGTAAACTGAGTACTGTTTGTATTTCCTGGTATTTTGTCCTGCTTCGACTCTATCAGAAGATCTAGGTGCTTTTTTGTTCTTATTTGCTGTAAGGTCCTAATTTCAAAATATATACCTCTCTTTCAGAAATATGTACGACAGTTCTTCAAGCTGAAGGACAGATAAGCTAGAAATTTCTTCTTTCACTGCTTGGCACAGTATTGCTCTATTACATGCCTGGCATGGAAAATAATAAGGCAAATCATTGCATCTCCCTCCCCAGAGTCAATATGTGTCATCTTTCTATGTCCCTGCTACACTGGTTCAGGAAGTGAGAATCTGAGAGCCAGGCAGAAATCAATCATAACTCTTTTTACCTTTCCTCAAGCAATTTTTCCACCTCTTGGCTCTTCTAAACCAAACATTGTGGTATATAACTTCATAATTTAACAGGGTTGAAATCAGGTTTACTTTATGGAAACTTCTAGAAACCTAGAAAGTTTCTTAGGAAATGTCTCTTGCATACAAGCTGTCTCATAAAGTAATAGATTTAGTGCCTTTTGCAAAGAACTCCTTAAATCTACCTAAAAAGAAGCAGGGGTGACCATAAAAGGCTATCATTTTATATTCAAATGTATATGGACTTTAACAGGGAAAATCACTAATTTTAAAAGCATTTGAATATACAAGCAAAATCAAATATTCCATTAACAAAGAAGGCAAGTAGTATTTTCAATAGATACATGACAAATAATCAAACTGTCAAGGGGACCTGGGAGACTTCAGGGTGAATTACCGCAAAAATAGTATAAAAAGAGAGTAAACATATCCAGCATAGAGCTGGATCTCCAGCTTGAAAAAACAACCAAAAAAGAAACCCCACTGTATTAGACATAAAATATACTTTTTTTGAAACAACTTTATTGACTTCAGGTATTTTTTTACATGCACAGAACAATTGCTTTAATACACTTCTCTGACTTTGCATAAAGTACACAAACGTAGCATATGTAGTAGCAACAAGACTCACCATTTCACTTCATGAATACATTAAAGCTCTTATGGTTTAGGCATTATGTGCTCTTAAGCAACGTGCTACTGTTTTATAATAGCTCAGATTTTTTTTATGAGCCTTTTCAGGTAGCATATTATGGTGCATTTTTATTCCTTGTTAGGCTTTGCATAAGCGTTTCTCTAAAAAGAGTATTTGTAGAAAAAATTTTACTAGCAAATGAAATTTGGTATACTAAGTTTCATTTTGCTTGCCAAACTTTTTTCCAGTGTGTTATTTCTTACAGTAATCCTTACTTATGTTCCATCCTTTCCATCCTTCAGAATAATTCAGAGGAACGTATTTCAATTAAATTCAGTTAAGTGAATTCTATTTTCACCATGTATCTTGGGTTTAACATACTATAAATTAAGAAGCTGTTTGTATTGGTCTCTATGAAATGGAGCAGTTAAGAGCAATACACAAAGAAATATTCAGATGGAAATATCTTACGTGAAGGCATACTTTTTATAGTGTTTTTCACTTCATGTATTGGTTGCTCCAGTAAAGCAGTGGAATGATATTGTCCTGACAGAGAACGATTACACATGGGGGAGGGAGGTATGGGAAGAGGCAGAGCCATGATATCCACACCCAGCAACTGGCCCATAGCTGGGACACACCAGAGAACTGCTTCTGTGTCCTGAAGACCAGTTGCTCCTGCTCAAACAAGAGTGTAACAGGCTGTGCAGCCCTGGCACCCAGCCTCTCCTGTGAATCTGCTGAGAGTCCATAGTCCATCCCTGCGTAACTTGCAACAGGGAGTTAAATGCACACTTTGCTTTTCTTTTTCTCCATTAACAGTGTTAGTCTGCTTCAGACAGGTGCTTCAGTGCTTGCAGCTTTGTTACGGGTAATGCAATAAAACCCTCCTGCAGCTGATTTTATGCAATATTGTATAAATGCGACTGTTTTCCAGGAAGCAAAGCATGTCAGATTGTTGTCTCACAGAGAAGAACAGATGGCTTCCAACATATTATTGTCATGAATCATGACTTTAACACTATATATGCCTATCATATGTATGCCATCTGTATGTTACAATATACTATATATATATGATAGACCACACAGATATAATGCAATGTATCGCATCACATTTTTATCACATTTTTATCTATTCCAATTTTCAGTAAAGCTCTTATTTACTCCAGGAAAAAAAAATTATCTTAGTCTGACTACAGAATAACAGCAAAATTACACCTACTGAGTGAAAGACCTCTCATTCTTGTTCATATGTTCTTTATTTCTACCCTGCTTTCTCATATATATGCATTTATATGTACAAGTATATATGCATATACATATATATAAGCACATGTCTAGCTTGTAAAGGGTATCCTATTTCAGTACTGAGATGCAACTTTTATGAGTTTTCATTCTTACAAGAAATGTGTGCTAATCCTCACTGTTGTTACAAAATACCATCTCTCACAGCAATTTCCAGCATTCATCAATTATTCCTGTTCTGCTCAAACATCCTATTCATACAACGGTACAACCAAAATCTTATTTCTATGGGTCTATCATTTGACATTCTCTAGTTTCTGGCATCACACTAGCCTTATGAAATGAAAAATATTTCTTAGAGTAGCAGTCATAAATGCTGAAAAGGATTCAAGAGAATAATAACTTAGCATTTTGCTTTGAGTCTTTCAGTGAAGCAGACAACACCTTCAGTTCTTCCTAGGACTGACTTCTGCTGTCAGTCATACCAGTTCACTCCTCTGTGTGAGAAATTCAGCTAACATCATAACATATATAACTTGATAGGCACTGGAACCACTGGAAAGAAATATTTGATTTAAAAATCTACATCTATCCTTCAGAAGAAAGATGCCACCTTCTCCAATGGCATGAAGTTTCATAAATTAGACAAAACAAATTCCTGATATTCTGAGGTGAGTTGGATTTTCATTGTCAAAATCTCCTTTGGAGATGACTACTCCTAGAACTTTATATAAAATAATGAGGACTTGATACAACACTCACTGAAATCAGTGGGTATTTTTCCATTTACTTATTTGGATCAGACCTTTGGATTAAGACTGCAGTGAATTTTCAAAAACAGGAAACTGATTACCTACACTGACAGTCTGATGTTGGATCAGATTTTATTTTAAAGTGCTGGAATAATTTAATTGCATCTGCACGCCTCTGCCAACTTTTATGGTTTTATAACTATATATTTGCCATTGTTCCTGTCACTGGCTGTAAGACCCACACTAGTAGAAGAAAATGACTAATAAATTGAGTTCCCTGAGGAAAGAATAAAACTGATTATATGACAAACTCTTACCTAATGCAAAATGTTCCCTATAGATAGCTTTTTGAAATCAGTGGCAATATTCTCATTATTTTCACTGGTATGTGGATCTCACTAAAAGAAATTAATCAGAAAGTGAAATAATAATTATCAGTATTTCTGGTTATGTCATTTACAAAGACCTTAGCCTTTACTTTACTGTAGCCATTACTTCTACCAGTAGTGGATAAGGAACTTTGCTCCCCTGAAAGAAAACAAACGAGCTAAAGAAGAGGTCACCAATTCAACCACCATCTGCTTTCATTAAGAATTTTTTCACTGATGCCAATAGGAGCTTTTGAAATGAACATTTCCATAGATACTGACACATTATACTACCATAATCAGGGCATTCTTGTTGAAGAGAACATCTTCTTTGAAAGGAACATAACTGCCATATCTTCTTTCATATTTTTGCTGCTAAGTTTTAATAAGACACTTTCTTCAAATCATCAGTTCCACATTAGCTAGAAGAGTGGGCTGCTCAAGTATTAGATTTACTGAGGTTTGAGATGTCACTGCAAATGCCAGTGTCATTAGCAACAAAACTGATTAAGCCTCACTGCAACTGTGGCATATATAATTTACACTTAATCACATTATATTTTAAATAATTGTCTTGTCATCTTTAAGATTTGTATTGTAATCATAAACAATTATCAAAAAGGAAAATGTTGGATAAGTTTTATTATTTTTTTAATTTAAATTTGAAAACAACAGAAATGTCTGATTGCATGTACTAGGAAAAAAACCCCAGCCCATTATAAACTATAAACCTTGGTAAAATGGTCAGATTATAATCTCTTCATAGTGATCCACTTTTGATGAGTTCTGCTTTTTAATCAATCACTGAATGTTAGGGCTGACAACATGATTGATCAGACCAGTCAGGAAAAGCTTCCAACTATATCCCTGTATCAGACTTAATATATGTGCACAGACACTCAGTCCCTCTAAATGAAACCAAACCAAACAAACAAAAAGCCATCGTTCAGCTGCCAAAAGTAATTTAGACGTAAGAGAAAAATCTCAGCTCCATCCAAGCATAATGTCCAGATTTCGCATATTCAGCTTCTGGGTTCATTCAATTCACTTGTAAGCACAGGACTTGGTTAAATCATCCTATGTCCTTCCCCATTGCTCAGTGATCAGTTACAGCACCTGCTTTATTCTGCATCTTTTTCAGCTCTATGTGATTAGCAAAGGGCTTTCAAGATGATACCTAGAGTATTTAGGCCTCAGAAGCCCTGTTTTTTAGGGCAGATTGTGCAACACTAATTAATCTCCTTCAGGGCAGCAAGGCGCCAACTATACCAGCCTAAAAAGCATATTACTGATGATGCTTGAATTTGCCTTCTGATGCGGCCTATCTTCTTGTTTGGATCTTAAACTTTTTTTCAATTAACATTACTTCAATCCAAAAGTGTTAACAGTACACGTTCTGTTTGGATTTTTGGTTGGCTGGTTGGGTGTTTTTTAGATTTTTGAGCCTTCTGTTATTAGTCAGGGAACATATTGTGCAAACAGAGAGCTCCATACCTCATATTTTCCTCTCTTCTGGGGCTTGGAGAATACTGTCTGTCAAAGGTGACAACATTATACAGTACTTCTAAGACCCTGTGGTTCACAGCCAAGGCTCAGACATCAAAACACCATTTTCCTGGACAAGTGAAGCTCTTTGGATTTCTTTGCTTTGTCCTATTTGTTTCTTCAAACTTCTGTGACTACCCAATAGCTGACATTTATTCTAACTGTCAAGTCACCCTCATTTTTCTCTAATACAGTGCCAAAATGCTTGCAAGTGACAACCTTTACAGCTCCTTGGTGTTGTTCTGCTTTTAACACTGAAAACTGTAGATCAAATCCTGATTCTGCTGTTCTCTTTGGCGGATGTTTTATTACTTTCATCAGTAGCTTTTTTTATCATATTTCCTACTATTTGGTTTAAGAATGCTGAGGTTTGTTATATTCCTATACCTGAATGGAATAGATTCATGGGAACTTAAAATTGGTGGTTTTGTCAGTGTTGCTCTGACATGTGCATTAACATGCCTGCTAGCAGAGTTTCTACACACGATTGCAAACATGTAATTGTCTTGCACCTTCATCTAAGAAAATTGTTTCAAGTAAGTGATTCTAATAGTTTAAAGTAGGTAAACAATATTTTCTACTTGTTTAAACATAATTTGTTCACCTTGTTCCAGGTATGTCATATACATATGTTGGGCTTTTTTTAATTCATAATATTATTTGCATTATCTGTATGTTAGCAAGCTTCAGAGCATCTTCAGAAATGGAGCTCATCTTAAGCCTGCAAAAGAGTCTCTGGCTGTTAGTTATTCAGTCTTTAAATTTAATTTTTCTGTAACATTTTAAGAATCAAAACTCAAATGGCTCCTATTAAACTTTAGTGCAGTACTTAAAGCTTCTCTTCTTCACCCGATTAAGAAGCTTCCAAAAATTAGGGATGTGGTAGCCTGGCAGTGCTGACAGCTCAGACTGCTTTTCTTGCAGGCCTCATTTAAGAGCACTAGTTTCCACTTCACACAGGAGAACAGAAGATGTTTTGGTTTAGTCAGATTGGTTTAAACTGACTTTTAACTCCACAGTTTGCTTCACTGCATGTTTCCTCCTAACTGGAAATGCATGCACAACAAGCCAGTCTCTCTCTGGACTACATTCCATATGAAGTCAGGCACCTGGAACCATCTCTTTATGTGGTTAGTTGCGTGGATACAAGGTCGAACACGTCAACGGTGGCAAGTGATTTAGAGCCTTTAGCAGGTAGCAGTACCTATTCTTTGTAAATATGCAAGTGTCTTGGTCACACTGGGGCTCTTGGCCCATCCCCAGCCTCATCCTGCAACAACCCAGCCTCATCCCTCCCCAGGCTGCTGCCTGGCTTGTGCTTGGGCCAGCCTCATTGCCTGAGGAAAGTCCAGCCACCGCTATACCCCAGCCACCACGGCTGGGAGTGCCCAACTCTCCTCATCAGCCATGTCCTGGCCCTGTGGCCACCGTCTGCCTGGCCCCCTTCTGTGTACAGTGCAGCCCCCTCCTTCTGCTCCCCAATGGCTCTGCTTGAAACAAACTTCACCACTCACAGGCAGCTCAGCGTTAAGGGTACTGTAATAATATGTCAAAACTAGATACTTGTTAATTCATACTTTTAGTTTCTCAATCTTTTGTATTAAGTCTTTCGTCCTATAAAGATCCTGAAAAGATATCTTCTTTGCCCCATAGCTTGCTCAGGTGGGGCAAGAAAATTAGGCATCACTTTGTCTAAAAAGCTTATAACTCCATTTTTTTTTCTCACAGTGTAAATACAGTGGGTATCCTTGCTATTTTCTCAGTATAAATGTACTTCTTGCTCGTTCCTCCAGAATAGATGACTTTCACTGGACTGCATTCAAATTAATTCTTGCCTATCTGTAGTTTTTGATGCTGAGCTGCCCAGAGCTTCTGGTAATAGTGCTTATAATAGCATTGCTCACTGTTTTTTTCCCAGCATCAGAATATCATATTTGTAAACATTTTATTACTCTTATTGTCACATTCTGCTATCTTTTTTTTTTTTTCTACAGAACCTCTGAAAGAGCAAGCATGACACAATTCTTGGGAAAGTTGCTCACCCAAGGGAGCGCTACCTGAGCACAAACATGCATTCTGTCTTCCTGGGGGGCCTTGTCAAACTTATTGTCACATTCTGCTATCTTTTTTTTTTTTTTTTTCTACAGAACCTCTGAAAGAGCAAGCATGACACAATTCTTGGGAAAGTTGCTCACCCAAGGGAGCGCTACCTGAGCACAAACATGCATTCTGTCTTCCTGGGGGGCCTTGTCAAACTCTGCTGATACATCCAATATAGAAAAACACTTGTTGATATTAGCCTCCAAAATTTCACCCTTATCAGAAAGTAAGAAAATACTAAATTTCTTTTTATTTTCTATTCCAAAATATAGAATCTTTGCTTATGCAGTGCTTGTAGGCAATGATATCTCTGAAGTTTTTCAAATCCTTATGCGAAAAGCTTATACACTTCCTTCTCTGGGCTTTGTTCTCCAGTGAAGAATTTTCAGATGGGGATGTTCCTCCAGAACTTTACTGTTCTGGGTGGGTTGGCACATTCAGTCAGCAGCTCACTTCTTAATTTTACGTTCTTGCTCTGATTAATGACTGAAGTCATATTCTACATGAAGTGCAGAACCCCCAATACTACTGAATTCACAGCAGCAACTGACTTTGAATTATTATGAGAAACACACACTTTTCAACCAGTCACTTTCAAGTATAAGACTCCAGGTCTGCATGTAGGATGAAGTTTTGTTCAAACTGCCTTATGCTGTCTTCTGCACTTACAGAAAGTTTCCATTCTGCATGCATTTTGGGGTTTTTTTGGGGGTTTGTTTGTTTGTGTGTTTGGGATTTTTTCAGGGGGGGTGTTTGTTTGTTTTGTTTTGGTGAGGGTTTTTGTAATATAAGGTAATCAGTGATCACTCTGTTTTAAGTGTGTGCAAGAAATTTGCTGCCCTCTGTCTCATTCCAGCTCGCTGAGGATAGCAACATTACACCCAGGCTGTCAGCTTGAAGCTCAGGTTCAGAGATCTCAAGTTCATACTCCCTGGCTAATCTCATTGCTCATACGTTGAGCTCAGACTTGGCTTCAATCTGGAATTGGAAACCAAGGGAAGGACTTGAATCTTGCTTCTGCAGACAGTTTAGACTGGATGACTTTAAGCCAAATGAAATTGCAAGTAACCCACATTCTGGCACAGTTTAATTAAGAAACTAAAGATGGAAAGATCCAGCACAAACTCTGTTTGAGAAACTCTGGCCTTTTAGGCATAATTCCCAGTAACAAACTGTGCAGCCCAGAGTACGGGAACACGTGAATTTAAAGATGCCTACTGAGTTCTCACTGTTCTTAGCAGAAGAGTCTGTTTTCATAGGTGAAAGCTGACATAAATTAAAGTGATGTCATTAAATAATTGTACTGAATATGTCATTAGTTCAAGGTTAGATAAGCACAAAGGAAGTTGATGGCAAAGCATGGACAACAGAATTCAGTTCAATTGAATCAGACCCATAAAAAATGTTATCATAAATTTTACATCATACATGTTTCTTTAAAATTTATTCACTTATTCCTTCCTTAATATCTGAAAATTTTTCAACCTGTCCTAGTATGGTGAAACACATATACCTCTCTGTGTGTGTGTGTATATATATATATGTGTGTGTTTGGAAACAACACTAAGAAAGTTCAAATGGACTTACCCCTCAAAGATGGACCTAGGCTTGAAAACTTTTTTTCCTAGCTTGCTGTGAAATCTTTCAACTCCACATGTTAGGAAACACTAATTTATATTCTTTTATATTGCTCAATCTCTCTACCCAGATAGCTCTGCAAGATGGGAACAGCAAGATCCATCAAGAGATGACCCATCCCAGCTCTCTGCCTAAAGGTAGGATTGATTAGTACTGTTTCTCCCATTTTTTATTATTGTTATCTAACCCACACTTTAAGACCACTAGCAATGCTAACTGAACAGACTTTTTCAACCAATCACTCATAATCCCAACCAATCATAATTCCCTCACTGTTGTTTGAAATTTTCTTCTTTAGTATCTAACCTGAAACTTTCTCTCAGAGTGTGGGACCATGAGTTATCCTACCGACATGGACTTCAGAGCATTCCTTCCTCATTGTAAAAGCCTTTTATTATATCATGCTCCTTCACAAAATCATGTAGATTAAATTAAATAACTTTTAGTACTACCTCCATTTTTCTAAAACTCTCTTATTGCTCTCCCTTCCAGATGCCCTTCAGCTAGGATACACTTCTTGAAATGCAACACAACTAAATGTAGGTATGGAAGAATTAATGAACTTCAATCTTTAACACTCTATTAACAGTGTTATGTGGTGTCCTTCTGTTATACACTGTGTTTATGGTTATGTAGCTACCCAATTTGTAGTTTTACATCAGGACTGAATTGTGGATAAATACTACAGGTAAGTAAATAAGGGATTTTTAGGAGGTTTTTGAATCATATAGAACTTTGGAGTTAGATCAAGTAAGAACATGACAATGACATTACTAGATCAACCAATTAGGAACTTGAATTAAGACTATAGGATAATTTTGTTGGCTTATTTGTGCTGATTCTAAGAAGTGCAATTCTAATTTTGTGTTTACCTGTTTTCATTCTACTAATATCTAAGTACATCATAGAATATTTTGGGTTGGAAGGGACCCAGTCGAACTCTCCTGCCGTAAGCAAAGATGTCTTCAAACAAATCCAGTTGCTCAGAGTCCCGTCCAACCTGACCCTGAATGTTTCCAGGGATGGGTCATTGACCACCTCTTTGGGCAACATGTTCCAGTGTTTCAAGACCCTCATTATAAAAAATTTTTTCCTCATACCTATTCAAAATCTACCCTCTTTTAGTTTAAAACCGTTATCCCTTGTCCTCTTACTACAGGTCATGCTAAAATGTTTGTCCCCACTTTTCTTATGCGCCCATTGAGTACCGGAAGGCTACTATAAGGTCTACCCAGAGCCTTCTCTTCTCTTGACTGAACAACCCCAACTCTCTGTCATTCCTCACTGGAGAGGTGCTCCATTCTCTCATTATTTTTCTGGCCCTCCAGCACGCCCATATCTTTCCTGTTCTGGGGGCCCAGAGGTAGACACAGCACTCCAGGTGGGGTCTCACAAGAGCAGAGTGGAGGGGTAGATTCACCTCCCTTGACCTGCTGGATATGCTGCTTTTGATGCAGCCCAGGATATGGTTGCTCTTCTGGGCTGCAAGTGCACATTGCCAGCTCATGTCCAGCCTCTCATTTACCCCCAAGACCTTCTCGGCAGGGCTGCTCTCAATCTGTTCATCCCCAAGCTTGTTTTGATACTGGAGGTGCCCTGAATGAATATAAATTACATATAATATATGTAATAATCATTCATCAGCCCAGTCAGCTCATATCACTGCTTGGTATAACAAAGTGGGAAGCTCATCTACTTAACTGAAAACCCCTATCAATATTAAATTTATCAAAAAGTAAAAAAAAATGATATGAGATTAAAGCATATTCTGGAAATACTTTATCTGTAGCCTTTATGAGCCAACTCTTCTCCTCAACTTTCCCATAAGAAAAATGCTGATACTAATGACTTTTTCTCTTCTGGAAACTCTTACTGAAGAGAACCCTACAGCATTCATCCATGTGTTATACTGATGATGAAACAGTTACATATCCAGTACAGTCTCCCCTCTGAGATTATACACAAAAACCCTTATCTGTTTAAAGACAGCAGAGATTAGTGCATAGATAAATTCTACCTTGTAAAACCTTTCCTGTCCAATAAAAGACAGCTAGAAAAAGTATACTGTGGAATCTCTTTAACACAGTGAATAAAAGTAGGTAGGAGGCATAAAGCTGTTCCAATTGTAAAGAAGGGAGAAGCAGTAGTTTTTCAGCAACAATTAATGCTATAATAACTGATAAGCTATGGATAAGAGGGGAAATCAAGCAGAATCCAGGAAAGTATTGTTAAATTCATTGCAGCCCTCTCACTTTACAAAGTGAGATGTCTGTGGTGGGAAGGAAATGAGAACACTATCTCTTTTTGTCTGTGGCTCTAAACCACTTAAGGTTTTATACAGAGGAACGTGAATTTACCTTGGGTCCATTTTCACAGTTCCCAGATGAGAAACAATGATGACCTTAGGGAGCCAGCAGTGTTCCCTTAGTAGTCTCTATATTAGGTATTTGAAATACATTGAAAATTAAAATGATAAGATTACTTCCCACTTAAGAAAACATGTTGATTGTTTAAAAATATGAGCAAAATTAAAGATGAATTTAAGAAAATCACTTATGGCACAAAAAGCACATTAGCACTGCCCACATCATCATTTATAGAGAAAGGTGGTTATTTTGGCTGAGATGACAAATTACCCTTCCACAGCAGAAGGAAAAAATAGTTTACAGTTCAAGCTGTAAAGTTATTAAACGAGATCTGACTGTACTAAGAAATGCACAATATATTAGAAAAGTCAATTTCTTAAATTAAATGGCAAATCAGCAAGTGGATGAAGGACTGACCTTGGATCGGGGTGGCGCTCGGATGTACCATTTACAGTCTACTGCTTCAGTTTCAGAAGCTTTTCCTTCTTTGACAATTTGTACAGATTCCACAATTCCTTCAGGTCCTCCCATCTCAAACTCACAAACTGAATAACAAAACACCAGAAAAAATGAAACCTGAACAGCAAACAAAAATATTTTCTACAGAAGAGTATAAAGGCCTCCAAGTTAGAAAAAAACCCAAAACCAACATACCAACCTGGCAATGGTTTCAAAACGCCAAGGTCCTTAAAATCTGGATCTTAAAAATAGAGAAAAATAAAATAAGTTTTGTTCAATATCTAGGCTTTAATGTCAATGTGCTAAAATTTGATAATGTGCTTCAGTGACATAATTATACATATACTTCTTGAAAATGAGAAATGTTTCAAAACTATGGCAACACACTAATTATTAATGCAGAAATTATTGATACTATCATACCAAGTTATTTTTTCTGTTATGAAATCCTGCTTTTCTCTGTCTCTCTCTTTCAGAAGAATAAGTTCAAAAATATTTCTGCATATATTAGCAAGTGAGAACATCACACAGCTAACTACATGATATTTTAATACATCAGCCTAATGAAAGAGGATATATTTACAGACCCATTCAGAATCTTTTTGCCTATTTTGCATTTTACAGTATAACACTCAACTTAACTAGAGAAATCTAAACTTCATTCCGTCTTTTTGAATAGTCTGCCATCCCCACTGACCAAGAGGAGACATTTCTTTGTGAGAAGCATCCATTTGGCCTTACTGGGAAAAAATATCATAAGGATTTACAGTGGAATTCATTGTGTTAACAAGGTAATAAGTCTAATACGTGTGCTATTTTCCATCAGATAAACATGATTATATTTGCTGTCTGATAGGATTTGTATCACACTTTTATAGCCAAGTGTAGTAAATAGAAGAAATGAGTTTGGTCTTAGACCTACGATTCAATAAACAACAATCCACAGACAAATTATCATTTCACAATATTTGGCCCAGTTTGAAGATACTGCCCAAAATCAGAAATGTGAGAGACTAAAGCATTTCAAGATATGTTTTCTTAGAATAAACTGATCTTGTCTGGGAAATATTTATCATTTGCTTTTCCACCTAAAAAAATGTTTTGCACTGTTTTTCTCATTTACACATAGAGCTGTTCTTGTTTCAGAATGGGGTCAATGAAGAAGGAACTATTAACAAAATAATGAAGCTTGGAAGTAGGAGATGTATCAAATGAAAAAAACCAAACCCACAACCAATCCACCACCAAAACTCCTGTTTCCCTCTAGCCTTAGTCTATCCAGGATAGCAAGAATCATAACCAAATAATATAATGAAAAAATCTAGTGTTCGTAAGCAAGATCAGCCATTTTAATCTCAATGGTCAAAATGTATTGACTTCAAAAACTGGAGTTGTAAAATCACTTTTTAAATTATTCCTCTGTAACCAGGCTGCTGTTGTTCTTCCCATTTATCTTTTACAGTTGCAAAATATAAATCATGAGTAAATACTCATGACCTTCTGGAACCACAAATGTAACTGAGTAGGCAATTAGCATTAATTGTTAAGCAGTTTTATAGATCAGTAGATATATATGATAATCAACAACGATAAATGTAATCAAATATTTTAGTTAATATACTTGGATGTTGATAACTAACGCTGAAACAAAATACTTTGAATTCTGGTTCAAATTAACATCCCAGCTGTATCCCATGTAACCATTGCATTTCTTCCTTTAACTAAGTTTGCAAGGATCACTCCGATCCACTGAAAACACTCCACCACATTACCAAAGTACAAAGGAGGAAGAAGGTGAAAAAGGTCCTGCCAGGATCTTCCCCATATGAAGGAGTTTTCATATAAAGCAGTGCCAGTAGCAAGAATACAGGCCGAAGTGTAATCTAGACCATGCAGTTTGCTGCACAAAACAATTCTTAAAGTATGTTCTTGTGTAACAATACAGTAACATTGGTAACAGTGCACACAGAAATGCACAATCTGTTAACATTCTAGAAATATGGTAGATCTTCCTCAACCTTGAAAAATAATCTTTTTGCAATTTTTCAGCATTTCAAGAGTGATGGTGAAATAAAATCTATGACACCTGAGGTGATATACTTCATTACCATTGCTAGTATACCAATACTATTATAATAAAAACAAAATCTGTATATAATGTATTATCAGAGATGCTTAAAAGTCAACCACGTTTAAGCATATTTGCCCAGTAAATATTTGCTTTTTAAATAGTCTACCATTAAATAGATTAGTCTTTAGCAGCTCTTCTGTATGTAATTCAATCAAATTGTTATTCTCAGTCTGGCTGAGTCAGAACACTTTTAATGATATCTAAACACTGAGTGGCTAGATCTTCCAACAGAGAGATGAAAATCATGTTCCCATAAGGAAAAATTCCCCAAGCAGGAAAACTCTGAAAAAGAGTGAAAAAGAAGATGGATCACCAATAAGGAGAGAGAAAAGTAGGATGCAATAGACTTTAAGGGCAATGAAATATATGCAAATATTTTTATGAGGATCTCCTTAATAGCAAAATGAAGTATGTAAAGAGAAAAACAAGAATGTTCATAAAAATTTTGAAAATATGTAAAGGTTATGTAAATGGAAGACCTTACATCCAGAAGAAGTTCTGTGACTCTTTCCTGAAGCATTGAAAGTCTCTTTTAAAACAAAGTAACTCAATAAAATAAAGGTTATTTCCTCCAGTGATATATATTACGACCCACTCTACAATAACAGATTGCTGCAATGTTTATTTATTATAAGCTTTACTGTAAAGCATTTGAAACTTTTTATGAGATGTAAAAAACTGTACTAGGTTATTTAGAGTTGCTGGAAAACAGAGAATGTGAAACTTTGGAGTGGCCTAGGGTGAAAGTGATAGTAATCTGTAATTTCCTTAACTAGTAAAAAAAATGTAGTGAATTAGCAGACAGTGAGATGGACCATGCCTGTGATAGCATTGATCATCTTAGCATGAAGTCAAGTTGGAGGCCAGTGGTGCATCAAAGGGGTCAATACTGGGAAAAATCCAGTATTTAATATCTTCATTAAGAACCTGGTGATGAGACAGAGCGTACCCTCAGCAAGTTTACTGATGACACAAAACTGCGAGGGATGGCTGATACATCAGAGGATAGTGCTGCCATCCAGAGGGACCTCAAGAAGTTGGAGAATCAGACTGACAGGAACCTCATGCAGTTCAACAAGGGGAAGTGTCAAGTCTTGCACCTGGGAAGAAGCAACCCCATACACCAGAAAATGCTGAGACCATCCAGCTGTAAAGCATAATTACATAAAAGGACCTGGGGGTCCTGGCAGACACCACATTAAATACGATCTAATAATATATCCATGGAGTAAATAAGGCCACCAGTATCCTGGGTTGCACTAGGAGGAGTGCTGCCAACCAGGCCAAGAGAACTGATCCTTCCCCTCTACTTGGCACTGATAAAGCAACATCTGGAGCACTGTGACCAGTTCTGGGTTCCCCAGAACAAAAGCAATATGGAGCTGCTGGGATCCAGCAAAGGGTTATGAACCTGTTTAAAGGGCCAAAGCATCTCTCATATGAGGAAAGGCTGATAGAAGTGGGACTGGTCAGCCTGGAGAAGAGTAGGGTCAGAGGTGATCTTACAAATCTGTACATAAACCTGAAGGGAGGGTGTAAAGAGAAGGGAGCCAGGCTCTTTTCAGTGATATCCAGTGACAGAACAAGTGGCAATGAGTACATACTGAATCACAGGAGGTTCCGTCTGAACATCAGGAAACACTTTTCCACTGTGAGGGTGACTGAGCACCAGCACAGGTGGCTCAGAGAGGTTATGGAGTCTATATCCTTGGAGATATTCAGTAGCTGTCTAGACACAGTCCTAAGCAAGTGGATCTAGGTGACTCTGCTTTAAAAGGGGGTTGGACAAAATGAGCTACAGAGGTGCCTTCTGATACCACCCATTTTGTGATCCTCTGATTCTGTAATTACTAAACATCACAACTGGATAATAGTAGAATAATCAGTCAAAAGACTAGACTTAATATTTAAGGTATAAGCAGAGGTTAGATAAATTTTTATCACAGTGCAGACTTATTCTTGTGGAATTTGTTTTTAGTCATGGGTATACCCCACCTGGAGAAAACTGAAATATTTAAGACTGGTTTCAAAAAGATCCACTAGGTCTTCATGAGAGACTCTGAATATTTTGGATGTTGGCTTTGGAATCTATTCCATATCTGGCCCATGGAAATCATGCTACATTTCTTTATTTTTCCTTTCACTGTTACTATGCAACAAGTCTGGCTTTTCTAAGCAGCTGGCAAACATGAAATTTAAATGAGAAAACAGAACGTCAGTTGTAGTGAGTTTAGAGCACCTGACTGCTCAAAAATCTTATGAAGTAAAGAAAATTGTAAAGTAAAAAGGGATTGTATATTAACTGGATGAAGTCTTCAAAAAGTATGTAGATGCTGTTGTTTACAAGTACACCCCATCATCTTATGTTATTGCTGAGCTGTGGTATATTCACACAGAGACATGTTTATGCACCTATGCATGCATGTATGCATGTAATCCCTTGCTCTGTGTCACTTGCACAGAAAGTGGAATGGTTTCAAATTCTATTACTTGAATAATTTCTATAAGAGACAGGGAAAAGGCATAAAGTTCAAACATTGCTAGCAACAAGGTGTGCTGCTGGTAATTATTATCACAAATCAATTTTAAAAGATCACATTTTGAGTAAAAAATCCACAGTTAGAAAAACCATTCAGCTTGTCTTTAAAGACAGATTGCACAAGGCTTCTAAAAGTAATGTTGTATTACAGAAAAATTAGAGTATTTTCTTTCTTATAAATGTTCAAAAATGTAAGTACACATCTGGCATTTTATTACTCTAATTCTTTAGCTTTTCATATAAAAAGTTCATTTTGGCACTTTCTTACCCTGACAACATCAAATCTGCTGCTCTCACTGATAAAAATTAATAGCTATCTCACTCTTGGAAGTCAAAATATTTAAGTTAATGTTTTAATACCTCTTATAATAAATGGAAGATTGAGTTAGTGTGGAGCATATCTGGACTGCAATGTACTTAATTACACATTTTTTTTAATTTTGAAGTACAGTATATACAGTGAAGAACATAAGCAATTGCTGCATGGTTAAAAGTCAATATGAAGGAAATATGTACCACAAAATCCAGGTGTTGATTAATTTTTGAGGTATTTTGCTTTCTTCTAAAAATGAGAAATGAAGGAATTTTTTTTTAACAAACTATACACTACAAAGGGTTGATGTTTAAGATGTAAAGGAGTTTTTGTTGTTTGTGAATACAAAACCTCCTTTTTAATGGATACATACAGCAAGTAGTCACAGTACACAGAAACCATATTTCCTAATGTTAAGTAGGGAAACTCTCCACTTCTACTCACTAAACAGGCAGCTGTAGATATGTCTTTTCATTTCCCTGTCTTTGACTAGAAATAGGCATTCAAATTCTATCTATCAATATTTAAGAAATTTTAACACATGCACATGCTTCACTGTCAGAGAACTTATTAGAGACTTGATTTTGCATGTAAATGCTCATAGAAAAGTAAAGAGAATTGCACTATTCAGCAAGCAACTATTTATTCATCTTCATGTTTACAAAGTCAGGTTCTTTTACAGTGATTTCTGGGAATCTAAATCAGTCCTACCCTCTTGAGCAGTGAGGTATAGTTCTCTATAAAGTAGAGCTTGCAGAAGTCAGTACTGAAAACGTATTTCACGTTGTTATCTCATAGTATTTGATGATACAGTAAAAATACTGGAAGATGATACCCAAAAGATTTTAAAAGCATAAAAATATGCTCAAAGAATCATTAAAACTGTTCTAAAATAGAAAAAATATTTCTATAAATAAATATTTTTTGTGAGGTACAAAAATAAAGGGGATTTAGCTATTCTACTGGGGACAGTAAAGAGGAAATACTAAGTAAAAAAAAAATTACGTTAAATACCTGTGCAAAACTCCACAAATTATGGTCTTATTAGCCTAAAATGAAATTTGTTCTGATTAATCTTTTTGTATTTGCAGTCTTTCTGAAAATCCCATGTATGTTTCTATCAGTATTAATGATACCAAAGGATCTTTAAATAAAGTCTGTAGTTTGCTAGACACCCTGAAAAAGTTCTATAATAATTATAGTTGGCAAATAGTATGTGCTGTATTTGCTCTTTATTTTCTATGTTCTTTGTTTCAAGGACACTTTTGTGAGCAAGGGAAGCTTTTTTGGAGGCTGCATATTTATAATCTAAAACAATGCTTCTCAAAGTTTTCACTTCTTAGCAGAGTCATGAAAGAACTCAAAGCTAGTAAGTGCAAACGTAGTAATGAATATGATTCCTGCTCTTTCACCTTGAAAGTCTACCAGCTATTAGACCAATGAAAAGTCATATGAAGACAAATGTTTTTGAAATAACACAAACTATCACCTGGAAGTTTGATTTTTACAATATCTTTTTTTTTTCTTTTGTCACTTTACTAATCTCAGCTCATACTCACAATCAAAGTATCTTTATAGTGTAATTGAGATATTATGGCAATTTACAAACTGTACTGCTATGGTGACCTCATTAAAATCAGATATACTGGAAGTGTTAGCAACAGTTGGACATTTGTATGTTGCTTTGATATTTTTTTGGAAATAAAAAGCCAGTATCATCAGAAAAAAAGAAATCTATATCTTTCCATAACTTCTTGCTAATATTGGTCAAATTGAGCAGACAAGTATGTGAATGAATTTCACTCAGAGCACATGATTACAGCAATTGCACTTAAATTTCTCTTTTCATACACACAATGGCAGGCTTTGATATTTTAGCCTGCTTACCTCCATTGTCTGCTCTGTAACCCATTCAGAGTAGGAACTTTCTCCACTGTAAATTTTGTATGGGTGAGAACTGTGTTAGAAAGTAAAAGGTCTCATAAGAGCCTCGGTGTCATCTTCAAATGGTGTTTGGACTATTTGATATGTGCTGTTAAATCCCAGAAGTGAGAAGTGCTTCCTGGAACTGACTTAGTGACAAAGGAGAAAAAGAATGGGAAACAATATCATACTCAGGCTGATGAGTGGAAAGAGGCAGTCTGGGAGCCTTGATATAAGTAGGATTATTTGGTAGATAATTTTTATTATGTTAAATATTTACAGTAGCAGCCGAGTAATTCAATTAGGCATTACATTCCCTTTATGCAGCACACTGTGTGTGGAAATGTAGGGAAAAAAGGATCCTATGATGAGTATTTCAAGGGCTGCACGTACCTTCATCTGCTGGTTTCCTGAAAATGTGTAAAACAAGACTGAATGAGCTCAGGAGTCCACTTTATCTGAGTAATGCAGCATTGCTATGACAGTGCAGCTGTCTTGACCACCAGGACTGGCTATCAGTCAAGGGCAGCACCTTGTATGTGTCTCCCCAAGATAATATCCCTGAGGCTTCCTATAATTGACTAATGGTGTCTGGACTTGACTAGGAAGAGAGATGTGTGATGCGATGGTGCTTTTCCTGAATAATGTTGAATTCTAAGTATTCTTAGTCATGCAATTTCAGCACAATACTGCTAAGGCTTGGGATGCGTCTCATTTTTTATGGATGACTCCTAGCTCAGTCCAAGGAAATAACACTTTAAGTTCATGGCAGAAGACTAGGCGAAAAAATGATCCAGAGGGTTTAGCCTCAACTGATTGCCAAGCATTACTTCTGCAGATTGAACCTATTTATACATGATTATTGCTTCCTACCACTGAGTGCTGAATCTGCATATTCTTTTCAGGACATTCATGCTGTATCAGTCCATAGAGTGAATTTCGCAGGACAGAAGGATCCTATGGGAATAACTTGGTGATATAAAATAGCCTTTGTTGTTTTATCATAGGAGAAATACTTTATCCTAGTTTTACCTCAGGACACTCAATAGAATGAATACATTCACTGAAGTATTCTTTTGAATAGTTACATCTTTTAGAGCTAATATAGTCAAAAGAATATGCTACTTCTGCTACTTCAAATAGTACTGCATCACTAGTAGCCAATTGCACATTATGACATATTTCCAATTAAAAAAAAAAAATCAACATAGTGTTTACACCTACTAATATTCTCCTGCTGTAGTTGGCCATGCCAGTGATGGCATCTTTTTGAAGATAACTGAATCTATAATGAGAAAGCCAAACATCTCCTCTAGTTTCCACATGTCAATAGTTCACTTTCCACTTTAACAAGAGAATTCTCGCACTGTTTCCACACATTTTTCTTCTACAGCCTAGCAAAGCACCAGGTGGTCTTTTGCTAAAGGAAGAATCATGTCAGGGAGCACCGGAAGGGAACTGAGTTGTGTTAGTAGAAACATCTGCTTGCTTAATCATCTGGCCATATATCAGAAGGAGATGAAACAAGACAAAATACTCCAGAAAAAAAAATACTTAGATTAGAAACAAGTGAAATAGCCATAGTCACAAAGTCACTCATTACTGTACTGTGCAACTGTTAGATTTTGAAAGTCATTGGATAAATTATGTTCTGGTACTCTCCTATAACAGTCTTTGTATGATTCAAAACAGTCAATGTCACAGGATGTTTTCAATGTATTCAATACCCAAAGTAGAAATCTCTTGGTGTTTAAGATCAAAGCGAAAAATCTAGGTTTCCATCCCCATTGGAGCCTGAATGTTCTCTTTCTAAAGGAAATATTAAAAAAAAAAAATAAAAAGGCTCTAGAACATATCAAAGGAAGAGAGAAATTCATTTGTTAAACATAATTGTCAACTCCAATTGTAACATGTGCTCGCTACAGACACTTTCAGTGAACAAGAAGAGGAACTCTAAAAGCCACATAGCTCTATGAATTGCTGAGGAAGGCATATCAACTCCAAGAAACATATCAGTCCCAGAAACTGTGGGTAAGTGGAGATTTGGAACCTAGAATACGATTTCAGTAAGATTCAAGTCTATAATAACTCTGTTACTGCTGACTTTTCCTCACCCCAGAAACTCCAGATTCAGCAGTCCCTAAACAGTGATTATATTCAGTACATATCAGTAAATTTTTAATTCTGTTAACATAACTTGAGAATTTAGGTTTAAAAAATATAGTTTTCATGGAATTTAACAGATTTGCGTTTTTTTATCCTCTATTCAAAATCTACCAGTCTGAAGCAGCAATCTGATTTCCACTGGATTTACTCACAATTTTAATACTGATTTTAAAAGAAGGAGGCTTAGGCCCACAACTTGAGCTGACATACAGCAGGATTTTTCCTAGCTTTATTTAAGAGTAATTTAAAGTTCTGGAGATAGAAAAAAAAAAAAGTTAAACATAAATTAAAGCTTTCATTTAAAATTACCTGGTAAACCATTGATCTATATTTGTATTGGAATATTACTGGTATGCAATATTCTAGAATATAAAAAACTATATTAATGCTGCAAATCATTCTAGTGGAGGATGCACATATAATTAAATTTGATTTTTAAAATCCTAAGCCAGTATGCATTTTTTTATTAAAAAACAAACAACCAAACAAACTGAAAATATAAACTTATTTTGTAGAATTTCAGTATGGACTTCATAGTTGGCAGCAGTTAATAACCAACTGTCTAATTCCCATAATGAAATCAAAATTTTAAGAACGAAATATTTTTAGTAAGTATTTTCTGCATTCTCTTTTAACGTTAATTTTCACATAGACTTGAGATATGAGCTACAAGAAATAAAAGAAAGAGAAAAATAGAATTCAGAGAAAACAAGAGATGGTATAATACAATCTTTTGTTAACCCACATACTGCAACCAGCAGATTTGATAACATTGTCTCTTGAGCTTCAACTACCAGATAACATCTGGCAAATGATGTGTGTAAGTCCTGTTACACAACATCTTCTGGCTTCTCAGTGTCATTTAGGGGACTGATATGTGACTAGAATAACACATTTCACGCTGCCTGCTTCTGTCATGCTAGTACAAATTTGCCACAGACACCAGTTTATTTAAATCTGAATTCTCAAAATAAATTTGACAACTCTCTTCTTATCATCTTACTCATGACTCAAATTGCTGGTTACTAGATAGTCTTTTGACATCAAAATATTCAAATAAACTTTCTACATCTTTAATGAAATGACCTCTAAAGCAATATTTTTAAATGTTGATCAAAAGTATTTGTTTATTTATTTTCACAATTTTTATTCTGTTCAGTTGCATTCTCAATTGTTTGGTAAATCTCGTAATCCTATACATTAAACAAAAAAATTAATCAAAAATTCATTTTACACTGTACACTCCAGACCAAAACATTTTGCCTCGCTGAAGTTGAAATCTCCTCTACAATCTATATGAGGAAATCCTAATGTCAGGCATTAATTTCCCTAGTGAATTGGAAACCATGCTGGGATCATGTAAACAATGCGCAGTTGACATAATCAAGAAGGATCTTCAGAGCAAGAATAATATGATTATTATATAATAATAAAATTTCCCCTTTCAAAAAATTATCCATACATACTGCTTCATTTTTATTTTTAAAAGCCCCTCTGATTGCACTATCAAAAGTTCAAATAGTAGGAATGTAGTAAAAGTGTACTGGAAACTTTTTTTTATGTTTCAAATTTTAAAACCATGGGGTGGAACCAGTATTCATTGCAAATGGTTGCATTTTACAACTTGTAAATCTGACTGACCAACTGAGTTGCACCAAAAAAGCTTCTCTGAATTAATTATGTTCTAAGCAGAAGATGGCTGAAGTAAATTATTTCATTTCAGACAATTCCAAGGTGATTTTTTTAGGGGCAAGGATATCTACAGAAAGAATAGCAAAGGAAGAAAGACAAATCATAAATCATGATCCGACAAAAACTTAGCTTACTGTAAGAGAATATTTAAAAAAAAAAAGGAAAAACTGAGAGTTAGTAAATTAAAACTACTTAGGGCTATATTAGTGTGATACTTGTCAAATAGACAAAGTCTGAATTGATGCAGATCTACCACATCATTGTGAAGGTAGAAAAGTAGTTTTTAATTCATGACAAGAGTTGAAGAAACACTGGTTCCATTCTCCAAAATTAACAAATATTTTATTTTGACCTAGTACAATAGATGGAAAGGTAGAGGATAGTATTTAAACATACCTACTTTTAAATAAGTACCCAAATCTGGAGATTGTCCAGATTTAGGGACATGCTTCGATGTAGGCTTCCTGAAGTTCTTTGATAAATTGAGACTAGATTTAGTGGCTTGTCAGTGCAGCATTTGAGTACAGTAAGCTTAAGCAACTCTTCTTGGGAATTATCCTTCGGCATATCAGAAAGTAATTTCAGAGATTTTTGGTGGATTAGAGTGTTAAATTATAGTAGTTGTTATTCTTAGTTGGCCTGAGGGCCTTTATGAAATGAAAAGGTTTTGCAGAGAAAAAAAAAGAAGGACACCTATCATTTGGATTTGCAATAATAAAAAAAAATATGCAAATTGGAAATATGTACACATGGAACAGAAATTGAACAAAAAATTACTTGTTGGTTTTCCCAAACAAAATATTAGGAATATCTCTACCTAATGTGAATTAATGTTGCAAGGAAAAAAACCCCACATTTAATCTACTCAGCATTCAGAAACATTAAACAACACCCACATTAAGTAAGTGATTCTTACATGAACTCATTATTGCCACTGTATAACTCTTTATAGATTTTCATATTTCAAAATTTGAATTATTTTGAAATTGGACTTAAAAATTTCGACTTTTTACTTCCTCAATGTTAATGGTTATTTTTAGGACAACACATCTGCATCTATTGTATACATGACATCAGCCAATGTTACTGAGAGGAGATTTGTTCATAACTCCTCGATGTATGTAGAAGATAAAAGGATGTATGATAAATAGAATCTGTCATTAGCTTTAGGTAGGTTATAATTGTACAGAGAGAAAAAAACTGAAAAAGAAAAAAGGGAAAAAACCAGAAAGGACTAAGTCTGGGTGTTCAGAGACTTGATTCGTGCTCTCGTTTTCCACAATGTTTGCGTCTAGCAACACACACATTGGCCAGATTTAACCATACAGATGACACCTACTCAAAGAAATCATTGAATTAATCTGTTCCTTACACGGAAAGAACTGCAAATGATAGTATTTCTCTACCCCCTGACAGCAGTATGATATTGAAGATTACAGTCTCTTTGATATCTTAGCACATAATAGGAGAAAAAGAGAAGATGGATCAAAGGCATAGATACTCTAATGGGCCAACTAAGTTTATTTACAAAATATTTAGAACAAAATTTGTATCAAAGTTGAATGAAGCATGATCTTATTTTTAGATCTGAGCATCAAAGAAGCTCAAATGTGATATCTGAAATGGAAGAATTACGTAGTCTGCATTTCTCAACAGACAGTAAACAAATAAAGGTTGGTCGTAGCCATCAATATTGCAAAAGATATATTAAGATGACAACACACACCTCCTAGAACTACAAATATACAAATAATTTTCAATAACATTCACCTCAGTACTTGTAAACAAAACAGACTCTCTGGATTGACCTCTTTACAAAAAATATGAATATTACCCTCAGAATATGAACCAATGCCAGACAGCTGATGAGTATGTACAACAAAGGCTGAGAGAGGATATACTTCTTATCTGACACACTTCATAATTTAATAACTATTGCATACTACAAAAATATTCAGTTCTAAAAACAGAAACATGACTTAGTTTTCCAATGACTCAAATGTTGAAAGCTACTAAATTATTGGGCAAGAACTCTCTTTATTAGTTACAGGGAACTTGGAGATTTCTAACAAGGGCTTGTGTATATTTCCTTAAGGAGATTTAGCTAAAAGCTAAATTCAAAGAGTTAAGAATCTATTAAAGAAAGGTAAATATCTCAATAAAGATCTTCATTTATTGCTGATAAAATCTTCTACTCCATAAAAGAAGTAGAAGAGAACAAAAAAAATTGGCAATCACAGTTACTTGAACCTACACAAATACATGACTGAAAACAAGTGATGTAAACATGGTTTTGCATCTAACATATAAGGACAGCTAAAGAATCAGACCAGCTGCAACTGTGTGCCTAAACTAAAAAATAGCTTTCCCATCTAACAGATAGGCCACACTCAGGCTGATTAGACAAAAACACTGAGATGAGTGTTAAGATTTATTTGCTATACCAGTAACACCTCAGAAACCTGTAGATACAATGCATAAAGACGAAAATTTAATGGCTTAAAGCATGGATAAGTAAAGAAAAAGAATTACTTTAATGTCAGCAGAATCTTAGCATACATCCACATTTCTAGGGTCACTAAGAGAAACCATTACAGACCAGGATCAGGCCGCAACACAACGAGCTCGGAGTGCATCCCAGTACAATCTATGAGAAAATCTGCCAGATGAGGAAGTCAGATGAACGGGAAAACCTTTGCAGAGTATTTCAAAACTCTTTATTCATTATATATGAGGCACGAAGTTTCTAATTTTTTCCCTGAAGAAATACATGTTATAATGTTTAAATAACAACAAGCAAGTAAGACACTAAAAGACAGATATTGTACGTGTTTTTCTGAATGTGGGTATTAGTAGTGAAAATTCTCACTGTAAAAGATGTTGTTTACAAACACTAGTGGAAGACTTTCTGTTTGCTACAAATTCCATTTTATCCCCCCTGCTCTGCCATTTTCAAGTGCTTCACAAACATTACAGAGAAATCAAGAATTAATAGGGGAAACAAATGTCCATGTCCCACTGGTTATTTCCACATTTTACAAGGGTTTAAAGCAAAGGATAATCACTTTATATCAGACCTAATGTCACGCTAACTCAGCATAGTATTTGCATAAAGTCAGAATTTTATCCTTAGGGAAAAGAACATATAAAAAGGACCTTATTTGGGGAAAACTCTTCTCCTGTTTCTAAGATTTAGTTTAAATTGTTCTATAACAAGTAATAATATAAACAATTTATAGAATGATAATGGTGGTGTAAAAATGCAGCTTAATCTAAAAATGTTGGTTTTCTAGTATTAATTTTGAATGCACATCTAAGCTTGCTAAAGATTCCTCCCAGGTGCTTTCAAAAGCACAATTTTTTTGTCAGAGAAATATGATTCCTATGTAAATAATCTTTAACCTCAAAACACCATAATCACCGTTATTGGTGAGATCACCTACAGATCAAGAAAGGTATTTCCTGTGGAGGTAAATAGAATTATCTGTACCTGTACAGGTGTATAATATCCTAGTAAACCTTCTCTAGTAGTATGAGTTCCACTTGTTATGGAACAAATACAGAGAAGAAATTTTTGTACAGAAGAGGGGTAGTACTGATGGCAGGGAGAGTAAGAAGCCTATGGCATAAAAAGTCAGCACAAGGATTTGACTTGTGTAGACAAGGAAACTGACAACTTAAAATAGAGATGACTGCCATCTCCAAGCTCACGATGCAGTGGCATGCAGCCCTCGTGAGGAAAGAGGTCTCACAGTTAACAAGTAACTTTGGTGTAAGAAGGCAAAGACATAGCCGTCTATATTTTAGGTGAGAAATCAGAAGAATGTTCCTAATAATTTGGATCCTGGAACAGGTCTTCCATAAAAATGGCAGAAGCAGAAAATACCCAAATAAAATTAACTTGGAAAGTCTTTTAAGATCTATTTATGGAGACATATGAATTTAAACAGTTATGACATGAGCTGGAAACTGACTGCTTGCAGTCACAGTGTGAGAGAACACTGGACTTTGAAAGCCCCTTCAATCCAATATTCAGTCAATACAAATGAAACTCTAATGTCCCTAGTCAATTAAAAATCTTACTCCAATTCTAAAATACTTAAAACTATGCTATTGCTCTTATTTTTACATCAAAGCTCAACAAAATAGGGACCTAACTGTTCAGTTTCTTTTTGTTGGTAATCTGATATCCCAGCATGCAGGGATTTCTAAACCAGGAAGTTCTGTAGTTACCTTTTGGGTATTGTCAAAAGAAAAATGTAAGTATGTGATAACAAGAGGTAATACGGGACCTGAGAATCCCTTGAGACCTTTTAGATAATCATTTGCTCCACATAAGGAATTATTTTTCACTTGAAATTTAAAATAAACATATTATCACATTACATTCTCATATTTATGATACTGAAGTACTCTAGGCCTAGACCTACAGTTCTTGTAAGATAATGAAATCTATAGGACATCACAACACAAAAGAAATTCCCTTGAAAAGACAATATTTATTTAACTAATCATGATTGTCAATGCAATGCATGATCCTACATGTGAGAAATTCCTTCTCACTCACAAGACCAGATGCCCTTATGCCTTGTGAACAGCAATGAAGGGTCTGACTTTTATGAAGTGCACTTTTATGAACACACTAAAAGTTGATAAGTCAAGCAAGCTGCTTATAAAAATTTGAAGTGCTGAGGGCTAGTTATTTCAATAAATAAAGAGATTCACACTTTTTAGGTTTTCTGTAACATCAGAAGGTTCTGGCTCAAAAGCTTAAATAAAGAGTTATAATGAATAATTTCTCCTAATTTTTAAAACCAAGTCTGATCCCAAAGGAAAAAGATTGCCACATTCAAAGCCACATGGCTCTGAGACTGTTTGCTGATTCTCAAAAGCTTAACTGGATTGCAAATTGGTTAAAAGTGATTGTCATTGCTGATACTAACTTAGAAGCAAACAGACCAAGTTTGGAAGAGAACAGGAACATAATCAAATAAATACAAACAACTGAGCAAGCTCACACAAGTGTTCACCTGTCACAGACAACTGGGAAATGTCCCTTCCTTAAATATGCTCAAGGAAGAACATAGGCATTAGACGGCAAAATGATTTGACAATCTCTTATCTAAGCTCTTTAGACCTGTGATTCAATTTAAGAAATTCACATGAAATTTTTCATGAGTTTTAAAATATGCAAATTCCCCAACCAGGAAGAATTTGAGCTGGTTTTTATTTTTTTTCCCTCAAGATAGATGATGCAATTATTCTATTATTCTGACATTCACTGCAATGGGAATGTAAAATACTGTTATTCTGATTAGACAGTGTTTTATACTCCCCTTTTTGGGACATATGATCATAAATATTTTTTTCTTTTTCCATTATCAGGCAGTTGAACAGAAAACATTACTGACAGACGTTTATATCAATGAGGCTAAATAAAAACACAGATGGCTTCTACTAAGTGAAGGAACTGAAAGTAATGATGTGCTATCTTAAGCCACTGTCCTGCAAAATCAGGGACCAGGATAAACAGAAATCTGATTATTCTAGCTGAGTAAGAAAGCTCAAATAAACATAGCCTCTCTCTGTCTGAATCCTTGTCTACACTAAAAAATTGACTCATTTTAAATAATAGTTGTCATAATAAGTCCGTTTGAAGTAGTACTTGAATTTTTCTACACAAAACAGTGATTCAACATCATTTTGGAAAACAGCCCTGAGACATAACTTTTTTAGGAAAAATGAGTGTAACAGATTGAGTCAAAGGACCTAGAGCTGTGAAACGAAATTTCAGGTGTAGGTCTTTCCAGGGCCCAAAGAATGGCAAAGCAAGAGCAAGAATGAGTTATCATTTGACTTGTCTCATGGGTCTTTCACATTTGTATTCAAAATTAAACAAAGTAAATAAAACATATTGTAGTCAGATATGTACTTTTTTAATACATCAGATTTGAGAAAAAAAGCCAACAAAAATGTTTGTACACATTTATGATGGTTTCATAGGTTCAGACAGTTCTATTTTGAAATGGTCACAGTTAATCAGAATTTAAAAATAAAAACTAAAATTGAAATAGTATATAAACAGTAAATAAGTTTTGTTTTGCTTATAAACTCTAATGTGTACAAAATGGTTGAAAATGTACTTTACATCCATATTTCATCTCGTTATTACTGGTATTCAGCTGTAATAATGTAAAAGAAGATGACTACTTTTTCTCTTAACTCAGAATTTGACATTGAAAATAATCTATCCTTAAACCATACATACAGCTTCATTCATCCACACCTTGCTTAACCCCATACTTTATAAAATCACAAAAATTAAAGCCTAAATGATTCTCTTAATAAGAACCTTGTTTTTGAAAAATTGTCAGTAGTTTTACCACTTACTGGGTGTGTTTGTATTGGCTTTCTGTGTAGCTCTGATTTTGTCATTAAAGTTTTTTCTTCTGCTAGATCTCACCTCTTAGACTGCTGAAAAGAGCTCTGAAAAAAAGTCTATTTAAATGGAACAGAATTTATGACAAAAAGGTTGCATTAGTTTCAAAATGCCTAAAACTCCAGTCCCTACTAGACTTTTGCATCAGTGGATGGATTTCTGACCATTTCAATACCAAGGAGTCAAAGAAATTATTGAAAAGTTCTAGTAATTGCAAAATATTAGTCTATTCATTACGATTTTTCTATATAATTTCTTTTTGTAAGACTTAATCCAAACTAGTTTTAAAATGCCTTGGGTGCAGGGTTGTTTCCATTTGCACGGACTAATAGATCTTCAGTGCAAGATTTTTCATGATACCTTAATTGATCTTATTTTCAACTTCATCCAGTTAGCTGTTTTTATACACCCCGGAGACACAGTAAATAATTTCTTTCCCTGTTTCTCCAGGTACCATTCAAATAACAATAAATGGTTGCAGCTTCAATTTAGTCAAATTTACTTAGGGGTTGTTTTTTTTTTTTTTAAATCTTGCCACACACCCACACGTTTAACATCACATCTCTTTATAATCAAACCAGAGCCTCCATCAAGACATCAAATGCAAAAGTGGCAGATGAGAAACACTTCATGGGTGGGTGGGGACCCTCAAAGTTTGTTGGTACTGGAGAAATAGCTCTGTTGCACTTGTCACTGGGATAAAGAAAGCCTCCTATTCAGACTGCAGATAGGCAGTGTGTCCTGCTTTCGACAAGTGAGATGGGTGGCAACCTACCTCCCCTGAGTGTTCAGCTGTTCTAGACAGCAAAAGTTTCTAAATGAGTTTTTGCTTTGGATCATTTTCATGTTCTTTAAAGAGAGGTTAGGCAAAAATTTTCTTTTGTATTCATAATTTAATTTCATAAGTTTTCACTACCTAAGATGGATCTAGGTGGTTTAAGTGATAATTCTGTAGTGGAGTCCTCTCTATGGTACTCTTATACACTCTTGAAAAGCATAATTCATTTTTATGAATTGAGAGTGACCCCTCCCACTGCACACATTTGGACAATAGATCTCAAAAGGTCATGCCTTATCCATGCCTACATAATAAAAGACTGTTCAAGTAATCATGTTCAATGTGAACTGCTTCTTGTTACCAGCGATCAAGAAGGCAGCAGTGCTGTTTTGCATTTGTCAGATTAATCATATTCTCATTTTGGCCAGTATTCCTAGAAATCCTCCATTATTTGCAGAGCTTTCTATCGAAATATATGGAGGGGGGAAAAAAAGAAAGAAGAAAGAAAAAAAGATAGCTATTCCATTTGAAGTCTAGAATAATTTATGCTGCTGTAACAATTTACCAGCATTGATCTCTGCATAGAAATTCTCCTTACATCAATAGAAAAACAACAAGGATAAAACATGATCCATGAAATTGCCTTTTACCTGAGAGTTTTTTAGACAGAATAAGCTGCAGGTAGTGCTATGAACATTTTTTTCAACTACAATGCATAACCCTTTGAAACAAGAAGGACAAGAAACATAAAGCAAAGAACTTTTGGCAGAGGGTGGGGAAATGGCAAAAGTCCACAGATCCATGGTAAATGAGAGATAAAAATTTAACTCACTTTTCAGATTGAATATGCAAAATTTTGTCCATTGTCTTTGAATTTACAATAATAGATACATGGATACAGATCTCAGGTTATTTGCTGAAGAAATTCTGTGTTCTATTGCTGTTTGAACCTTCTGAATAGGTTTACACTCTGCAAAACAGTATCCTTGACTTGAAAGAAAACTGAACTATGCTGGTTAATTCTATAACTATTAAGAAAACCACATAAAGGAGCCACATAGAGCAAAAAGTCCTGCCATCATCTATGATGTCCCTGGAATAATTAAGGAAGAAGAATTTCAGGTCTGCTAATTTTAGGAGATATTCTAAAGAATGTTGTTTGACCTAATACAACAATTTAGCTGAAACAATAGTGACATAATTGACAAAATGACATAATAATTATAGTGCTTTAGACCGTGCTATATTAAAGTATGACTCATCACTCAATACATAAGAAGGTAGAGAACTACGTCAAATCCAGCAGTGCAGTGCAGTGCAGTGTAGTGTAGCTGCAGCCAAAAAAGAAATTTAAAATCAGCAATCTTTTGCTGATAAGTGGGAGAGTAAGGGAATTAATCGAAAGTATGAATATGAATTTTGTTTTACTTTAATGAATTAAATTTAAAAAGGGACAAGGAATAAGTGTGTAATTACAATTAATATTTACAGTCTTTTTAGAAAAATATTTAATACATATTACTATATTTTTCTCACACTTCCTCCGGCAATACTTGTAATAGTTTGCTTTATTGAGAAGGGAGAACTATTCCACTTCTCATCTAGGGAAATGATTAGTGAAGTGGAAAAGCAATGATGGAATTTTCTGACATAATTACATTTTCTTACTAGAATACTTTATCAATTATTTTTTTGAAAGAAAAGGTGTACAGTGTAACAATCAAGTATAAAACACAGAACTTCCCACATAACATTTTGAATGTTTCTCTGTAATAGAATTCAATTGAAAACAATACTTTCAAAAACTGCAGTCTGAAAATTACTTCCTTGAAAAAGCCTTACTTTTATGCTAAAGATACATATGCCTTCTATCAGCGTCCTATCTATTAATACTTTCCTTGATAATAAAAATAGTCTCAGTTGAAGATATTGTTCAACAGCATGGTTATACACCAGTGGAAAAGTTACTATGTTAAGCTTTTTCTATTAAAAAGTGTGATGATGTGTACTCACCGGGTGTAAAGTTGTACCGAGCAGAAAACCCAATAGATTCTAGTTCACCATCAGCAAAAAATTTAATCCACAGGAATCTGCCACTGGATTTTATCATAGGTGGATTTTGCTGTCCACAGAAACGTCCAATGATTGGGGAAAAGCCAAAAGGTCCATCTCGTACTTCAATATGGTCAAATTTACACTCCCAAGAAGGCTCTATGGAATATTTTTCATCAAAGTGTAGTTCAATGCATTGTCTAGGAGCAGCTAGAGATGAAAAGAAAATTATCATATTATTTTCTAACTCAAACTCTTCAAAACTAAAGCAAACTAAAGAAAATCAAATATATCAATTTTGTATGCTTCTTAACATTTTGCTTAAAAACTTGTTTGAAAATTAGTACATCTATATTTTTATAGATTTCACACTGTCAAACTACTTGTCTATTGTTTTCCTTTAAAAAAGTGCGCTTGACAGCAGTGCTTAGCAAAGATAAGAGAGATATCTATGATACAAAGCAAAATATAGTTAGGAATAATTGGTTCAAACACAAAATCTTTTTAAGAAACTTGCAGATTTGGTAAAAGACTTTTTTCTTATATTTGGGGGAGGGGTGTTCATCAGAATGCCTTTTTATACTTATAGCTCACAAAGACAATGAAGAACAAGCTGATCATAACTGTGCTACAGTAAGGGCAGATTATATTCCTGTATGTATTGCAGTCAATGACAAACTGGAGTGTAATTGCTTATACTGAGAATTACTCATCATCTCATTTGAAACATAAGGACAAATGGAGTGAATTCTCACTTAAGAAAGAACCAGATAAGAATGACAGCTAAAGAGCAAATGATATACCGAAAACCTTGAAGGAACTATATAGTGGTCACTTAATTAGACATGAAAAAGTTCCATCCTTTATGTTAGGTACTAAGTCTAGTGACAGTCAGAATGATCTATAAAACAAATATTCCCTGGCATCTCCTGCATAAAGCAAAAAAGTTACTGGTAGAACTGTACTATTTTCTTAAAAGGAGAAAAAAATATCATGGTTTGGTCTCCAAATTTTAACAGATGCAGCCTCTGTAGGTGCACTATTTCCTATGCTTAATCCTTCCATAGCAAAACCTGTATGCCTTCAGTGTCTAGACCATGATGTGTTGGAGCTTTTTGCTGACAAAGCCTTCTGCTAAAGCAAAGATTTGTTGTGTTGTTGCCTGCTATGCCTCTCATGGGATCATCTCTTACACTTTACACATCTTGGAAGAGGTTGGAATTGCTATGAGCTTTGCCTAAGTTACCATTCTTTTCACACAAAAACACACAATATCAAAGTCCAAGCCAGGTGCATAAGCTTAACATGGAAACTGCTGCCACTCCAGCAAGTCAGTATCTCTCCATTTCTTTCCTCAGGATTAATACAAAACTGTTAACATGACCAGAACTTAGATCTTGTTTGTATTTTGAAATGTTTGAAATTGAAGTTTTTGGTACAAACTCATTACTGACATAAGAAAAGAGACTATTTAAAATTAACAGAATAATAAGAAGATATCAGGTAAATCTTGCAATCTTTACATAAAAGCACACAGTCAGAACCCTTTTACAAGTATTTCACATAAATAAATACAGCGTCTTTTGACAAGAAGCATTTAAGTAGTAAGTCAATAAAATACATTATTTGAAAAAAAAGATTTTAACAGCTTTGCTTACAGTGTTAATATAATTGAGTGATTGATATTTACTGAAACTCTTAATTTAACATAAGAAATAAACCTTTTCTACTGTTCTCAATTTGAAGAAATTCACATTTAGGGAAGTACTTAATACTGACCTGTTATTTATACCAATTTACAGGAAATTTGTGATCTTTGTGCCCATACAAATTCAAAACCAAAGCAGTACATAAAGCTTTTCAAATAATTGCACCAAATTCACAGACCATGTAAAAGAAACCACTTTGAAAGTATGGAAAAAATTTATAAAAATAATATCAGATATTAAAGCTTGTGAAGAAGATCATACTAATTTTATCCTTGGTGAGGTTTGAAGACCAAAGTAGATATTTTTCGATTATAGTAAAAGATTGAATACCGGAAGACATCATCGATTAATGTTATTCAGATGTTTCTATCTTTGGCTTCACATTTTTATAACAAATATTGATTTAAATTTAACTAAGTAATACTAGGGCAGAAGGGAGCAATCAGCACCTTTCAATTTGGCATCATATTTTTCATGCTCTTATTTCATTTAAGGAGATTTGTTGAGAAGTGTTCATCATTCACCTAAGGACAGCAGAGTTAGGCATCAGAAACTCCATACTTACAATGCTTTAGGTAATCTTAAGAATGCCCATTATGGCTTGAAAATCTTATATACACACTATTCCAATGTTATGCTATTAACCTACCTAAAGCTTTATTGTAATGTTTTAACATCACAAACTAGATATGAAGATTAACTCTGCTACAACTGTGAGTGTCATACAGCATCACAACCAGTGAATGGCTGCTCTGCTTTCCACAGCCACGAAGAGACACCTGCTTCAAAAATGGCTTATGACGTTATTATAACGTACTTGTCCTTTATAAACTTTCTCTTTTTCACGGCCTTATTTTGTACAAGTGCTGGCCCATAGTTAAACCCATAGCAGGTCTTCTCTGAATCTAAGATTCATGCAACATACATTAAAAATGGGCATGAGGCCCCTTCTGAGTTGTAGCTTAGTCATTTGATGTGATTTTTGGGGTTGAAAAGGAGCCAATTATACCTTCAGTATAATATAAAAGGAGTCATTGGGGGTAAATGAGACAGTTACACACGAGATCTATTGACTAGGTGAATGCACAATCTGAGAAAAAGCACAATTTCCACAAAGTGTAGTGCTCTGAATCTCACACTGCAGACTAGTTTGACAATCAGAATATTGCTATAGTTTACACTTCTCTGTTTTTATTTATTTTTCAACAAAGTGAAGATGAGGATTTTCCTAGTGAAGCTCAGATCTTGCTACAGGATCAAAGATAATCATATCAGCTCAAGGAGGGCTCGAGAGTTTTCGGTTTTCCCCAAAGCTCCCATCAGTAGAGGTTACTTCACTCTAAGAAAGGAGCATTGAATACTCATTAGCACCACATCTCCACTGCTAAACAAGGCTAGTAATTGAATCTGGGGGCTGGACCACTGGATGTTCACACTCCTTAAATGTTAAAGTCACATCTAGCATCACTTTGGCTGTGCCAGTAGGAGCTGCCAAACCCCGTTCTTAGGCATGATGTGGTGGCTCGCATCAGTCAAGGATCACTCACTCCGAGTAGTTTGTATCTGTACTCTTAACTTGGAAGGTAAAAGGAGTTGAAATGTACATGTGCAATTGTGCCTATGGGCCTTAAGGCCAGTAAGCATATCCAGACCTGTTTCAAGCACTAGTATAGGTAACTGCCCATGGCACAGCCTGCTCTGCAAGCTAATTCAAACAGGACTAATCTAAAACTCCTTTTGCCTGACTCTCCTGAGGAATGCAACACTTCATGTTTCTCTAATTGTATGTAACTGTGGGGTGCAATACACACATCCGTGCACCTTTTCATTACGTGCTTTTGAATGCACCTCTGTGCTTCATCTTAACATTTAGTTAACGGTTAAATTTTTTGTTTGCAATAACCTACAAAAGATACAAAATGAATCAAATCTTTCTAGAAATGACCATAAAGGATGAAATCATGTAACTCAAACTCTCAACTTTAGCTTCCTTTTAGCAAAAAAAGGTATATTTTCAGATTTATACTCTGTATATAATTAAGGATTTCTTTGTCAAACACGAGCTAAAACAAGTAGATATTGTATCAATACACATCTTGTGCCACAACTTTTGCAATAAAGTCGGGCATATGTGGTCACAGTAAAACTTACAGAAATAAAGTCAGAACAAGTTCAGAATAATGATTAATAATAATGTGTGTGTACCTATAGAAAAACAAAACAAAAAAACAAAAAAATCTGGAATATGCAAATCTCCCAGACTGGATTGGCATCTGGTCATCTAATCAGAAAAGGTAGGATGGAGAGGCCATTTATGGTATCCTTAGTCACAGGTAAAGCCCATTCACATTTTCAGAACTCCTTCTGTGGCTATGACATCAGGAAAAGCTGTTGTCAACTCCAAATGAAACATATTGAAATTGTCTCATAAAATGATTTTATTCCAAATCTCAAAAATCTTCCATACTTAGCTTCCAATTATATTTCTTCAAAAATATTTAATACCAAGGAAAGACTACTTAATGCTTTCATGTCTTGTCATATTTTTCATCTAATTATCTTACACAAGTGCTGTCTTGAGATTTTACATCCAGTGAAAAAAAAAAAAGGCATTGGATTCCAGCTTGCAGTAGAACAGTTGCAGCAAAACCACACAATTAAGATTTTAATTCTTATCAGCCTCTAAGTCTGTGTAACTGACAGCTGAAGTTAAGTGAAAAATCTGTTTCAATTTGCCACACTGCATGGAAATGAGAAACTGAATTTAACACCTACCCCCATCTCTCTGAGCTGCTACCCTTCTAATAGTTTTCAATAATCCTCGGTCTTTCTGGTTGTCCTGCTATTATTGATAAGAAAGCCACATATATCCTCCTTTTAAAAGAGGATTCTTTTCTTGTTTTGCTGAAAACTCTTTGAACACAAAAATCATCGTGAAATACAAAAGAACTTTGAGCAGATGTTTTTCATACAGTGATAACGTGACTGTTTTCTAACACCTGTGAAACATCTAGGATTAAAGAGTTTAATAGTCTTTTGTGAGAACATGGAAGACCTTCAAAAGTGCTATCTCCAAACGTCCACAAACATGCAAAATGGAAGATTTATTTCATATCTATATGTAAATCAATTCTGGTCCTTAACTCTGCTTATAAATAAATGCTTAATTATTTAAAACCAATGAACTAATAAAATCTTACAACTATTTCGCTTACGGAATTTCCAAAACAATTTTCAAGTTATAATGTATAAAGTATGACTATACCACTCCCCAAATATTTTTAATACAAGCAAAAGCCTTTGCTCCTAAAAAATCTCCTGTGCAAATTTCCATTTGTAGCACACATGCCAAATGTTCTGCAGTCTGGCAAAGGCTAATGCTGTCACTGCTGCAATTGCTCTGGGCAGCTGTGAATTTTTGCCAGGTTAGAGTCATGAATATGCAAAATAAGGGTGCAATTTGGATGAAGAGGGAATTTAATGTGTACACTCAGCTAGTTCCTATGTTTTCTATACGCCAAATAAGACTGAAAGAAGATGACAAAAAACCCCAAATTTTCATTGTGTTTTGAAAGGCAGATGGGATTCATCAGAAGCACCTTGTGATAGTGCATCCTTCCCCACCAAGCTGCACTGTTCACAGCTATTCTGCACTCATTCATGACATTCTTCTGTAGCATAACAATTTTTGTACTGAATCCATGATTTCTAGATGACCTAAAAGATTTCTCTTAGAAAGGCATTCAACCTGGGCTTTAAAATTCCTAGTTGTTCCAATAGTTAATTATCATTACTACTGAAACAGAAGTTAAAAGAAAAAAAAAAGAGAAAAAGAAAAATATCCAAGAGACTTCTAGCTGTTTGATTTGCTTAATCTTTGACTGCTATGATAGAAGTCCCTGCAGTTAGAAATCCTCTTCGTTTTCAGAAATTCAGTCTATGATCATGGCTACTTTTGCCAGCTCCTTTACTTCACCTAAGTAATTCTGACATGATAAAATGCTTGTATACGTTTAAGAAGAGCTACAATGTGGAGGAAAAAAGTTGTAACACGAGATGAAATTCAATTTTCCTACAACACGCTACATGCTGGAATCTTTGCTTAAGACCACGAAAGTCAGTAGGAATTGCATTTGAAGGAAGTCATCAGAATTTGCCCTAGAGTGTGTTTGGTAGCAAAAAATGAAGGAGTCAGGAAGGAACTTAGTGATTCATGTATGTATTTATAATCACATCACACAGTTTTCAGCATGGTATATATACAGTCCTGGTATGCTGAACTTTCTAAGACGTACGAAGGGGAGATGGGAATGCAGCAATGCTATTACAGATCACATCGACAATCCCTCTAGTTTGGTACTTGGTATTCAAGAGCACTCAGAAGCTATTTGAAGCATATTGGAATTTCAATAATAAATATAGAAATAAAATGCATATGGCGATGTTTCTGTTTTACTCTAAAATACTTACGTCCTTCATGAGCCAGGATTATCTACAATTTCCAAAAATTGTTATCTGTTCTCAAAGATATTGCTATCAGTAAAATAATTAATCTTTCTTTTTTTGCAATCCTTTAACTTCAATATCTTATGCCAATGACTTCCACACAATATAAAAGATATCGGGAAAAGTTTATACTTGCCAGTCTTCTTATCGTTTTCTGCCATTTTTATACTTTGTAAAAAGAATAAGTATGGACAAATAATGATTTTTTGTAATTTAATTGTAATTACAGTATAATTTTTGTTGACTTTCAGTTCTTCTTTTGCCTTTTTTTGAAATCTGCCACATTTTAAAATGTTATTGCTCAGACATTTTTGTGACATTTTCCAGACATGACTATTCAAGATTTTTTTAGAGGACAGAAATAGACACAGGGAGATCAGAGCTGAAAATGTTGTGCAATATCCATGGTTCTCATCAGATAATGTACTGATAGAGCTGCTTTCATTTTAGGTTTTAAAATGTCCAGTTGCAATCCAAATCGTTCATTAGGCTGGATGGGAAGATGAAAATATCAGAACCATAAAAAATTGCTTGCAACTGTTTTTTACCAGATTGAGTTTTCCCATGAAATATAACAAGATGTCTGTTAAGTCTGAATTACTCTTTCTCCTATAGATTGCTCCAAACCTGTCAACGTGGAATTTCGTCTTCATTATAGAATTTGGTTGACTAAATCTTGCTTTCATAAAGTGTTCTTAGACATTTCTATTTTTAGCTATTTAAAATCGGGTTATTTTAACAGTGTATTTTGCCACCTTTCAGCTTATTAACTCTATTTTTGTAAGTACTCAATTTGTACGATAAAGACAAAAGTCTTTACAGCAACGGGGATTCAGGCACCTTCTTCATGTGAGGAGGAACATCTTACGACTGAGATATGGGATTAAGGTTTACAAAAATGTTCTTTTTTTTGTTCTACACTCTTTCTCTTTAATGATAAAACACCCTGTGTCTCAGATATTTGAAGATAAAGCAAGCTTAGTTCTTCCCAGTCCCCGGGAAGGTTAGATAATTTGATCAATAGATGCAAAAGATCCTGGATCTAGCAACATAAGTGTAACAAAACAAACAAACAAACAAACAAAAAAGTCAAGCTGTACATATTCGATCTCTACATTTACTTTTTATTATAAAATTTATTTGTATTTTAAAACAATTACTAAACTATGAAAGAATTTAAATATTTACCATACATCTGCTTAAGTTTCATCCTCTTATGGGAAGACCGACAAACATAAATTTTCTTTAAAGACCTTATTTGGCTCCGTTATTTATAATCACCTCTTTACTTCTGACTCAAGTCAAGTTGCTTAGCACTAAACTGGAATTCAGCCATTTTGTTGTGATTTTTTGCCTTTCTGAAAGGGCATAGCAGAGGTGGGTCTAATACAGTTAATTCAATTTAAATCAGCTCTAACCTTTGGAAATCTGTCTTGATACTACCTGAATCTTTAGTAAAATAACTACTTCAGTAATTCCTGGTTCCATCATTAATTAATTAATAATTCTGTAAACCAAGCAGGGATAGAGCAACATCAGTGTTGCATTCTACATGTACTCAAAACTCATGAAAGAATCTTCTTGGTTCCAACTACTTGCTATACTGTACCTGATTCACCTTTTCTGCTACTAAGCTCTCTGACAGTATCTAATCATTATTACTTTCCACAGATTCATTTTTACAACAATCCTTTCAACATCCATTGTGTTAAGACTGAGGAAATCATGTATTTTTTTTGTAATACATTTTTAGCATTTCTTACATCACCTCCATGCCTACAATTAAAAATGACTTCTTAAAAACTGTGTCTTAGACCTGTTTGGTGTAAATGTTTATTCTTTTCTGGTTTTATTTTGTGAGGTGTTTTTAGTTTTTTTCATTTATTTTCATTTCTCATCAACCATTAGACAGAAAATAACTTTTACACTCGCTTTATGGATATTTTCTGTACAACTTCTTTTACTGTACTTTGCCTAGTTGTGCTTGTCATCCCTGATTCCATTATGATAAGTTTAGAATATCTGAATGGAAGTCTAAAGCATTTTTTTTCCTTACTCATTTTAAAATATTCTTCCATCATGTTACTGCATTTTAGATTCTACTCATTCTCTGAATATCCTGAAATAAATTGTACTGTATTTATTACTGAGTCATGCATACTTACCACCTGAACTAATTTATGAGTGATGTCAAGATATAAATCAAGAGCTTCTCTAAATCTTTGTCTTGAAAAGATTTATCATGAGCTTTATCTACCACAACTTCACCTATTCTTCACATATAATAAAACTTTTTTTTTTAATACAGTTGGTAATAAAATATAAAGATTCCTCATTTGGTCACCTTCTATAATGTAGACACACTCTCTGTCCGGAGGATACTTGTTGGGGTAATTTGGAGAAGTGAAGATGCCTCCTTCTGCATATTTGGTCCAAGTTCCGCACTGCACTGGTTTCTGTCCTTCGGAAGCAGTTTGCTTTTCTGTGAAATTATGACATTAAGCATTACACAATTAGCTCACAAATTACTATGTCTATGTGACACTTAGAAGTCTCTTACAGGATAAATAAAACAGTTCCTTCTGTCAGTGGCCTCAAGCTTTTCTCTGTTGAGAGTGGGTATGATCATGGACCTGGGGGAAAACAATGCTGTTCTTTATGGGTACAAATATATAATTCTTACTCAAAACATTTTTTTCAAAGCAGAGAAGAGGCTTGGATATCTTGGGGAGACATATATGTATTGTTTTTAAAATAATAACCTGTAGGGAAAGCACATGCTCAAGAAATGGAAAACATGAGTTTCCCATTCATATATCTCAAAAAGCTCAAGCATGTTCTCTATCAGCAAGCTTCATGCCGTAATACAGGAATACATAAGAGTCACAAAACCAAGAAAAAAACCCAGAGAATTAAGATGGTGTATACAAGTTGCTTTAGAATCTGCAGCGTCTTTATTCTATATTCACTGGACAGAAGTAGACAGGAGAATTCCTGGAATCTAGTTCATAGATTCCATAGATTTTTGCTGTTTGCTGTAAAATTAATAAATAGCTCTGAGGCCAGGAATCACATCCAAAAACTTTCCTCCTCCTAGGTGAATCATCAGAGAGCAGAGTCAGACCTACTTGTATGTTTTCTTCCTAGCCCTGAATTGCTTGCCTTCCTTTCTACACACTGACAGAGAGACTGGAGACAAAGGTTTGGGTCTGTTCAAGCTGAAGATGATGAAGGAATCCTTCCTAGGCACCACAGTTTAACAAGTAGGCTAAAATGAGATAGATTCTTCAGAGACAAATATACCTAGGTTGCTATTAAAAGGAAAGATAGTAGGTTTTAGATTGGTTTTGCTCCAGATGAGGTATCTAAGACCAAAGGTGTCCCATCTAACTTAAGCCCCTGATGTATAAAGTCAGGTATTTAAGGTTCGCTCTTACAATCAATGGAGGGAAACAGGCACCTTCCAAGGATGATTTTAACCACCTGAGTTCTGACTTATAGTCTGCAAGCATTTCTTTTTCTGCCTAGTCTGTATCTGGGCAGAGTTCAACATGGAGCCTGATTTCCTGAAAGGAATTCAGGCCTGCAAGGACTGAGCATTCAGACACAGGTTCAGAGATACACTGGGCTTAGCAGCATTATCTGGCTTGGGTCTCATCACACAGAGCACCCAAGGCTTTTAAGAATATTTTCTCTACTCACCCTGCCTAAAAGCACCCACAATAACCAATTTTAGATTTTTAATTATACTTCAAACAAGCAAAAATATTTTAAGTGTATGTAGCTCAGTGCCCAAGCTAGACTTCTCAGTTTGAAAGTGGGAGCACTTTACAGTCTTAAGTTGAGTCTGCCCAGTACCACTGGATTTTTTTTTGTGTGTAGAGGCATGCAAATACTCTAAACAAATGGAGAAAGCACAGATACTGGAAGTAAATGAGCCACTAAAAATTCCAAAAACTAAACTAATAACTCAAGTCCATACTTTGGTCTCTAATATACTGTCAGAAAAAAAATGTCTGAAGTTTACATACCTGTTCCTTTTTTCGTTGCCCCAGACAAATGTAGGATGATTAGACTTGCTACAACTGAAAGAGAAATATGAATTAAATATCACAGTGTGATTGTGCCTGCAATCAAAATGTACCCATCTATCTTACAAGAATACAAATTAAATAGAATTACTGTAAAAAAAAGTTTCATGTTTACTTGCATCTTTAAATTGTACATTTTGTATAAACAAGTTTCTTTGTAGTCTGTTGTAAATATTTATCTTTGCAAATGCATCCAAATAAAGAGAAGATCTTTTGGGTTTAAAACAAATCCATCCCATTTTTTCTTTTCCTTTAATAATAAAGAAAAACATTTTTAGAAATATTTATATAATCACAGTTTGTGCCAGTAATAGAAAAGTGTTTGCTTTTAACAGAGGTAGACAAAGGCCTGCTAAGTTTCAATGCCACTGTACTCACTAATGTCTCTCACTATGGCATAATAAAATTTGAAAATGAGTACTGGGAGTATGAAAGAAGTAGGGGTTGGGTTCTTCACATCCATCAAAGCATTTGCAAATCCCTAGTGAAGTAAATTATTGTGTATGCTTAACAGTCCCATTAATCTAGTTTGTTTGACTTGTCAAGAGGGTGTTGCTTTGTGCTGCAGTGAATCTGCAGCCCATTTTACAAATAGAAATCTCCTCTCTCCGACTATGATAATTATTGGGTTTCTGAGAATAATTTCCAAATATAACATTTTAACTGGAAAAGGCTAAGAGGTAAACACTTAGGCCAGTCTGATTTGGAAGATCGAAGTGACTAGTTAGCTACCTGATAAAGAAATCATGCACTGATTTTCTTGTCATCACTCGTATCTTCTGGCTATCGGAGAAAGTGGGATAGCAAGAGCAGGAGAGAACAGATCCATCAGTTCTTGGAGTGCTTGGGGCTTTGCCCCTGCTAGTTTGGCATTAGGCCAAACATAGTGCCCAGGCTGCACTGAAGTTAAAGCGGAGATTAAGTTGCATGTTTATTCTGAGCATTTTAGATCAATCAGCTGCCATTTGTGTTTTTGACTGTGATGAGGAACTGATAGAACTATGGTCTTAAATGTAATTCAATGGCATACTTTCTTCTTATTATCCTCAAGAGACACCAAAGGCCATCATGGGCTGGTAACTATGATCCTTTCAAAGAAGGTGCTTTCATCATTTTCAGCTTTTATACTGCAAATTGTGTGTACTTTTTACCCTGAAGGAAGGCTGTATTTGCAGTATTCCGATGGCATTGAGATATTTATTTCTACGTCTTTGACCTTTCCCATGTGACAGAGGGTTACAGACATAGATGATGGCTGCCTTATTAAGGAGGGAAAGGCTGAAATTCTGGGGAAGTGAAGGCTTGGCAGCATATTCACTATTTCTTAGTCAGGCTAACAGCCCCTAGAGATGGATATTGGCAGCGGTGATAGTTAAAAACTCTTCTGTGTCGTGGGCATCAGTGAGAACACTACATATTCTGCTTGGATCTGAATGCTACCCAGCCATTCATACCCTTACTCTCCTCAGGGATGAATTCTGGAAATATGTGCTAGCTGGGACTCTGCCTGCTGGCTGTGTTAGAATCTGAAGGCAATGGAGGAATCACCCATTTACTAAGTTGCTCATTTACTTTAGCTGTGTTTCACACAGTGAACATACTGTATCTACGCCTGTAATCTTCACCAGCCAAAGCCTAATTTCTCTATAGTGTAAGGTAGATTGGTGGTGGAATATGGAACCAGCTGCTGGTGTTCCTTCTGCCCACAAATTTATAGAAGCTAGAATAGGACGCACAATAGCCAAACAAACTCCACGTGAGAAATGTTTCTTTTTAGGCAATTGATAACAATTCATATCTGATTCTTACAGGTTCATTTCAAGCATCTTTATCTATTCACTCACCCTTCCTTTTCTATACAGAAAAAAATGGTGTTCAGAGAAGTAAAGAGAGTTGGTCCAAGTCACAGACATATTATTAGCAAGACGACAGAAAGAAACACAGGTCTTTTCAGTTTCAGTTGTAACCGCTAGAAAGGATCTTTCCAAACCACAGAGCTATGTTTTTCCAGAGCACAGAGCTATACTTACATGACATTATGTCACTACTGATTATTAATAGAGAGTCAATCTTGATAATAAAATCTAATGGACAAGAAGAAACTAAGAGATTAAGTTTGTTGGGGTTTTTTTCTGTACTTACCACATCTAAAATTTTCATAGATAAAAGGAAACGCTTCTCCCATATTGAAAAAAAAAAGAGAGAAAACCTCTTGATTTAGTGTTATTGACAACAACAGCGCCAAAATATGTATATTGACAGAAAGTAATTAAAATTATGGGCTTCATGGGACAAGACAGCACAATATACTTTAATTAAGCAGACAAGGCAGACAATTTTATTCTATGATCTCTTGCCTTTTTTATTTCTCAAGCCACAGAAAAAGAACTGTGCTTTTCACAGAGGGGAGAAAAAAAAAAAAAAGACCCCAAAGAGACCAACCACGCAATCTTCACTCATTGAAAACTGTCACTTGGGAAGCGTTGGCAGCATGGCAACAATATTGTGATTATCTCGGTTTGGGAATTATTTTAAAGAAGTTTCCACCAAATTTCTTGTTGCATTATCACTGTCTTCCTCCTTCTCCTTTCCTTCCTAATCGTGGGTGTAATTATAATCATGCTTTCTAGTGCCATTCTGATTACGCATCTTTCCATCTTTTTAGACCTCTGTATTTTTTTTCATTACAAGCTGTACATTAAGAGATTTATCTCTTGGCTAGGCTTTCAGGAGGCTGTGATTTGGCACAGACGTGGCTTAGCCTAGCGAAGAGTTGCTGGACGAGCAATACCTGGCCACAGCGCTATTGTACAGGTGTGGGCGCAGAGGGAAGTGCTGGAAGGCACTGTGCCCAGTCAAGCCCCTTCAGTACAGCGGACCCTCTGCAAAACAGAGGCGGGAGATGGGATCCCACCCGCGCAGGCTGAGGGCCCTGGGGGTGTTCGGACGAGTAGGTGATACATTTCGGTGCCTCCTTGCTGCTCCTGGAGGATTTCGGCCCATGGGGCCGCCCCCGCCCCGCAGACCTGCGGGATCCGTGCCCGGTGTGGCCGCCCCCGCCGCGGCTCTCTGCACTGCCCCGCGCCCCCATGGCCGGTTCGAGCCACGGCTGGGGCCACACCGCTGCGGACAGCGGGGGCTGTGCCCCCCTCTCCCCCGGCACGCCAAAGGCCACCAGATGCGCCGCGTCCAGTGAAAGCCTTCAGCCCTCGGGAGCGTGTCCCGCCGCCCCACGGCGCTGGCAGACACGGGCTGCCCCCCGGAGCACCGCAGCGCGGTGGGGGATAGGGTGCTGGGTGTGCGGGAGAGAGTTCGCCCCCGCGCCGCGGAAGTCTGGGCGTCCCGTTACGCCAGTTGTGGAGGCAGCGGAGGGCAGGATCCCGTGCGCGGCGGGGGAGCTTGGTCAGGGGTGGTGGGCTGGGAAGGGGGAGCCAGATACTCACTGTGAAAGAAGCTGCGTCCATGGGTCATGTCTGTTCCTTACACAAGGGGCTTCGGTCTCCACTAATTCCATTTAGATACGGGAGGACTTCCAGTGGCGGGGAGAGGATGGAAGTAAGAAAAGAAGAAGAAAAAGAAAAATCCCGAAGCCCCTACACACACAGCACAGCGGAGCAGCCCTTCCTCTCCTTCGCTCTCCCTCACCGCCTTCAAATGATCACCGCCGGCTCAATCCCATCACACCCGAGCGATCACCAGCACCGCCAGGAGCGTTGCATCGCGGCGGCGGGCAAGGCGGCGGCGGCGGCGGCCCGCGCATCCAGGTGCCGGCGGGCGGCGGCGGAGGAGCGAGCCGAGCCCCTAGTCACCAGTTTCATACAGAACCAAAAGCAGATCGAAGCATTTCCTGCAGGACTCCGAGCCCAGCGACTTCCAGCCCTTCGGCTTCTTTTGATGCATTGAAGAAGGGATTAATGGGTCCGTCATCAGCTCCCTGTGCTTGCTCCTCTGAAGGGGTGGGGGCGCGGGCGGGAGGGAACCCAAAGAGAAGGGGTGGGGTAGAGAAAGATTTACCAAATAGGGGATTTAGTCATATTTGTGTGCAATGAGATCCTTATTAGAGAAGAAATCCTTTAAAATAGAATAAATCCATTTTCGCAAAACCCTCTCCCGCGCGTCGCATAGTATCAAGTGGTAGCAGCGGCAAAAGGCTGAAAACACATTGCACGGTCTGAAATCCCCTCGGGAATGGATGAAGCGAGAAAGAGATGGACGAGGATAGATAGATGCCCCCTCACTTCTCCAGTCCAGGGCGAGAAGCAGAAGAAAGCCCTGGCGTCTCTTTCATTCATTCAGTGCAGGGAAAGGGGAGGGGGTGGGTGGGAGGGCAGCAGTGGTGGGGAAGGAATGATTTCAAAACTGGGAAAGGAAGACCAAGAGGAGAGGGATCCTTTCCCCTCCCCTAATCAGTTCATGGATCAGACAAAATGCTCATGGGTTCCTCCTTGACCTGCACCTGCTAAAGGGAAATTGAAAAGATTTTCCCCCTTGAGAGGCGACTTCTTCATCTACACACCCACACCCACATACAGACACGCACACACACGCGCACAAAAGGGAGCAATAAAAGTTTATCTGCTAATCCTCCGGCCACACATATAAGGATTGCCTCTTCCAATCAGCCCAGAGACAACTGCAAAATCTCTCCCTATCTCTCCCGCCCTCCTCTCCTGTCTAGACCTCTAGAGGAGGTTTATCCTCCCCAGCTACATCCCACCCCAAACACCCATCCCTTTGACGAGACTGCAGAGGGCTAGTGGTCAGGGCGGGAAGGGAGGGAAAGGGAGTAGAGCACGGAAAATATAGTAAGAGTACTAAGAGAAGCTGAAATGGTCTCAGTGGAAGAGGGGAGGAGGAGTGAATGAACAGAGAGAGCTGTATCCCTCCTTGGCCCCGGGACCTGGCCCTGCAGAGCCGCGGCAGCGACACCTGACTCCCGCAGCACCGCGGCCCCGGCACTTTCGGACCGGCCGAAGGGAGGGCGACAAGAGCGGACAGGGGCAAAGCGCACCGCTGGGGCGGCGGGGAGGGCCGAGGAGAAGGGAAGATTTGTGCTACAGAAGTGCGAGGGGAGCAGCATAGGATCCCCCGGGCTCTCTGCACCGCTGTTGCTGCGGCTAGGCTGGGGAATAGCCGACGCGGGAAAGCCGCCGACCCCGGAGGGGATGGGGGCAGAACCAAGGGACCCTGGTTACCGCCAGCTCAGGCTCCCCACGCCGCAGCAGCGCCTCGGAGGCGGGGCCGGCCCCGCTCCTCCTTGCCCGCAACCTGATGCTCACGCCGTTTGCAACAAGAAAAGTGTGTCTGGAAGCGCAGCCGGGGCGGGGAGAGGAGGAGGGACGGTGTGGGGGTGTCGTGCAGGAGCCTGTAGATCAAATAAAACTGAAATACAGTGCAGGATCCTCCTTTGCGCGGGTGCGGGGGAGGTGAGCGCAGGTCGGACGGCGCCGATGGCCGTGTGCTGGCGGCCCTGCCGCCGGGCCCGGAGCAGTGGGGCACAGCCGTGGGGCTGGGCTGCCCGCTGGGGCCGGAGCGGGTCCTGTCCCCCAGCCCGAAGGCAGACCCAGGACTGGGGGTAGTGACACGGCAGCCGGGAGGCCTGTTGTCTTTAGGGCACCTTTTAATGGGGAGAGTACCCTTACTGCCTTTGGAATAACACTGAGCAGCACAGAGGCTGCTCTGGAAAGTGAATGATGAGAAAGCCTGGACATTCATTTATTTATTTATTTAACTATTAATTTATTGAGTGGTTTTCCCAGTGAATCGCCTTATTTTAATAAGGAATCTCTAGGTTTTTTCAGCTTGTGGATTGTCTGCCCCGTAGCCTGAAATCAAGACTGTGCCTTCCATCGATGCTTAATAATGCAGTCAGCAGTAGCAGCATGCACGGTAGGGTTAAGTCTGAGGTGAGCTTGACTAGCAGAATTCATCCATTCAACCAGCCAGCCAGCCAGCCCTCAGTCCAGCCAGCCTGACTGAGCACTTAAAATTCCTTCTGGGTTAGAAGAGAACAGGGTTTTGCTACAGGGTTTTGCAGTAAGCTCCTTATAATAAGGAATATAGAAGATATAAGACTTTATGAAAGGATTCACCTATGTTTTGTGTAATCTGTCTTACCATTAGCAACATTGAGTCTGCAGCTGTTAATCTTAATAAACTGTCCTACTTTGCTTTCTAACCCTCTCAGCACTTTCTTTGACCTTCCTTATTCTCTTCCACCACAAGTTATAGAACTTTATTTGTCCAGTAATTGAAAGTCACATGATTTATCCATAGGATGAACTTCTATAATACAGATGTTCAGACTGCCTCTAGTCAAGCAACAGTAGAGTAACTGGAAAAGGGTAGTGTTGAATCCAGTCATAAGAATGTTTATAGACAGTCAGATGTTTCTTCTGCAGGATGATGCAGACATCCATATGGCTAAGTTTCAAGTTATAGTTACTTTAAAAAAAAAGGTTATAGAACAAGTAGGCACAAAACAGCTGATTGCGCTGTTCTGTGAAATGTGCTGTGTCACATCATATAACAGTGAGCTTCAACATTTTTCCTTTTCTGAAATAGGGTGTTTTCAGCTTTAAAGTTCTTAGATCTCTTTTGCTTGTCACTCTTAATTTTAAGGACACTATTGCAATAGTATTGAGAAACACAAAGTCGTACTTCCCAAGTGTGTTTATGCCAAAATGTAATCAGTCACCATCATTATGGAGGGAGACATCCACAAAATAGCTGAGGCATAGCCACAGTGGCCATTGGATGTTCTCATTAGCAATGAGACCTTAAGGAGATATCTCAGAATCTGCATAGTTGAATGCTAAAAGCTTGTTCAGACGTGTTTATAAGCAAGGACATAGGGTTTGAAGTTAGAGATGGTCCAAATCACTTTCTACTTCAGCAGATCTCACTTCTATAGAGAGTTTGAAATGTTGAGCTTCATACAACTACTGAAGTCTTCACCACATTTTTTTGGCTTTATATTTCATTTTGCTGCAAAATCTGCTTATGTCAGGTCTGGTAAATGCTCTTTCTAATAAGGTAGTAGCTCACCCACTGTGGTGTGTGCATCTTTCATTACCCTGCTATTGTATGGGTAAATTTTTATAGTGTGTATTTTTTTCATCCTGAATTAGCCAATCACCAGAACCTTGTGCTTCTACTAGGCAGTAAACTAAAAGTTAGAAAGGGACTCACATTTAATCAAACATGAGAAGTTAAAAAAAATGGAAAAACATAATGACCATAAATAATTTTCTAAAATGGCATCTTGGTGTTGTTTGGAAGTTTTTGGATTTTACTTGGTAAGAGTCTTATTGATTTTTAAATGAGTTTAAGGGTGTTTTTTACATTTCGCATTTTCCTTAGAGTAAGAACATTGCCTTATTTTATTACATGGAATGACAACTACACGTTTAGATTAGAAATCTATTTTTACTAGTTCTGTGTTGGTTGTCAGCTGAAATCTTGTTTTTAAAAATAAGCAAGACAACCAAACATAATTATGTTTCTGGATTCAGTACATACAAAGTTACTCTTTGCAGTCTTAAATCATCCATTACTTTGCAATCTCTTCATATAGCGAGTTCTGTCAGCCTCTCTCTTCACATTCACAGCTGAGTTTTTCTATTGATTTTTAGGGAAATTTGTTTGAGCACAGAATATTTTATTCAGCAAGATATGAAATCCTTCCTTCCTGTGGTATAACATCTTTAGGCTAACCTAAGATACTGATCAGTGATGGCTGGTATGGCAGAAAGGAGATCACCCATTTGTAGACCTATTTAAACTCTACGAAACATTTTCAAATTGATATTATAAAATGAAAAAAGACAAATATGCATGTAAGTATTTCTAACAGTTTTGTCAGAAACAGCAGTCTACAAACAAGTTGCCCTAAAAATCAATAGAAAAACTCAACCTGTTGAGATCTTTGTGAAGTATTGGACAATTTCTTAAACAGACAGAACGAAAGCTTTTGAATCTGAACTGTGTTATGCTGGTGTTTCAGCACAAGAAAAGAACATAAAAATTCTGCCTTGCTTCCACCCCTTCTGTGCTTGGCCTATGTGTTTATATGTCAAATAGCACAAGCAAGTCCAGGATGACTGGTTGTACGTGGCCCTGCTTGAGCAGAGGGTTCAACAAGACAACCTTCAGAGGTCCCTTCCCATCCCAGCCATTCCACGATGCTGTGATACTGTAAACAGTGGGGGACAATGGAGCATAAAGCAGGTGAGCAGTTTCAGTGAGAAAAAGAAAATCGTTAATATTCAGGACTGATTTGGCTTGCTTTCACGTTAATATTCAGGACTGATTTGGCTTGCTTTCAGTTGTAGCATGCAAGAAAATGAGACAATATATCTGGATTATTTTCTCCTTGAATCAGAGGAGATTATTCAGTCTCAGTTAAAATGGTAAATTATTGTCTCAGCTAAAAATTTCCCAATATGGAGGCACCTTAGATAAATTGCCTCTGTACATTTCTCAATGAAATTCTTTCCTGTGAAAACAAAACCTGTTCGGCATTTATTCCATTTTTTTGCCACTTTGGATAGTCTTGTCTTAACCCAGCTCTGCCACTGACAACTGTTCTAACTATACCCCATAATAACTAAGTGAATTAATTCTTCTTTGTGTAGATAAAAGACTGAAAGGATTCAAAGTAGCCATGAGTTGTTCCCAAATTCCTAACAAAAGGCTCCTTGAACTGTAAGAAAAAATGCAGTTATGAAATAGAGGAGGTATTGGCTCCCTGCTTTATAGAAAACAATCTATGCTTCTGAGAATGGGAAAGAGAAAATACAAGAGTGATATTTTACTTTTCAATGTTTTCTTTAAAATCAGTTTGGATTCTCTGTTGTCGTATATAATCACAGATGCACTTTTTGTCACAATCTCTTTGTGAATGATTTTTGTTGCTAAAATGTAGCAAATCCAAACTAGAGGCTCAGAATAGCACAGCTATACACAGTGTGACATTTGGAAACACCAAAATGAATCACCAAGCCGATCAGCACATTCGTGTTTTAGTTCAGATTAGGAGTGTGGTTCTAAAATGAATCTCCCAATTGCCCCCACTTACCACATTTTGGATTGCAAATTGGGCCAGTCTTTGAGTGTGTGAGCTGTTTTACTTATGGATGAAACTAAGCTGAGAGATGTGTTTCAGGAGCAGAGTTGGTTTTCCAACTTCTAAAGGGCATGCAGTCCACAGGAACAGAGTAAACCTAATGCTAAATAAATACTCCTTAAAATCGATACAGAGCAGGCAAGGA